AGCAATTTCTGTTACTCTCAAAATGCTACTTCAAATACAGTTTTAGTCTGATTATAATATAATGTGGCATGCAAGTAGACTACACTAAGAACATAAAGAGACTTATTCAAGGATTATTATTCTCATTTGCTATTGTAAAGTTTCAATTCCCAACTGCTTAAGCAGTTTCCTCTTCCTTTGCTATAAGTACAAACTAGTAGAGCTTCAGTCTCGACAGAGACTTCTGGTTTAACATTCAGCTGCATTACCAGATTAATTCTGATTCTGTCAAAATCGGACCGTCGTGTTAGGATCGAAAACTCACTGTCACTGTCTTATCATTTATATTGATAGTTTTTTCAGAATTTTTAATCTGATATTCTTGTTATTTATGTGTTAATACCATATAAACATATGATTTATGTAAGAAATTCATTCTACTCTATAAATGAGCCCGGCTCTCTGTATTTCTGAATACTGTAGTAAAACCTATACATAGAATTATGAATCTCAGTGTAGTCTACTTTTGTGCCAAGTTATATTGAAATCAAACCAAAACTGTAGGAGAGTAGGAACTTGTTCACAGAGAGACGGACGTCGGACGCATTACTAACGCATAAGCTAAAACTGGTACTGAAATAAGTTACCTACCCCCCCCCCCTCCGAAATAAGTTTTTCGTGATTGGACAACGGACATTTTTTTGCTTATCAGGTAATTTTTTAGGTCTGAAAAATATTTCTACACTTATCCCCCCCCCACACTTTCAATTTGCTTCCAACGCCAAGGCATTAATTTTCATTCAGTGGTATGAGGAGTCGAGGATAAGAGATGGGTTCCCCTAGCGTAACAGTTGTGCAGACGGACGGGCATCACTAGACATACTCGTCCCGTATATCTGTCTTTCAAATAGCAACAACTCTTGCAGTTCTAAACTTTAAACTTCGATTGATTGATTGTATACTGTTTAACGTCCCTCTCCAGAATATTTCACTGATATGGAGACGTCACCATTGCCGGTGAAGGGCTGCAAATTTAGGCCTACGCTAAGCACTTACGGCCTTTGAGCAGGGAGGGATCTTTATCTGCCACACCTGCTGTGACAAGGGGCCTCGGTTTATACGGTCTCATCCGAAGGACCGACCCATTTAGTCGCCTTTTTCGACAAGCAAGGGGGTACTGAGGACCTATTCTAACCTTGATCCCCACGGGGTAACTTCCACTGTTTCTGTGCTGCCAATATTGAATGACGATTAATTACGTACTTATGTCGTAGAAGTGACGCTGTGGTTCAGCAATTGTTATGTTGGACTGGCAGGCCGGTCGATAATTAAATTATTAGACCGATTTAATAGACATTTCTCTTTGAAGGGCTTTCCAGACGGTTAATATATTTAATTATTGATTTTAGAGATGAGAAATACAAGAACACTCAAGCAATGTATGATTAAGCAGGTGTCATTGACAATTTACTCATTACTGTATTCATTAAAAATTCGACAAAAAAAATACGAATACGAAAAAATACAGTATACATGTATTAAGCACACTAAAATTTGACAACTTGAAATTAGAATTATCATTTCCTGCTTCAAACAATTGGCATGTCCCTTTTAAAAAAATTGTTTGTCACTTAATTAACTTAGAAAAATGAATTGGGAAACAGGTGCCCACTAACACATTATATAGTTTATTTTTTTAAATAGAATACAATTTAATAAAGAAAAGTTAAAACATTAACCTTTGGATTTTTAAATTAAAATAAAAAATAAATCCAAATATTTAATTTTGTTTGTAACGCGTCATTTGATTTGATAAAAAAATTAATTTCAAATTGTTTAAATTGGGATACCTTTTTCACAATGACCTCCTTTAAAAACGTATCAATCCGCTTGATGTTAAATTTGAAATATTGTGACAGACTCATGTTTTATATATTATGCACATGTGCATAGCAATGCATATTGCATGTGCATCTATTCATTTATTTAATTATATATGTTTTTACTTGTTTAATTATATATGTTTTTACTTGCAGCACACTTCTACAGCTGAATTATGTAATTATTCATTTAACCTGTAGTTAAGTGTATTGATTTTTAAATGATTCTTTTCCAGAGAGGTCCAGAGTTAGCCTCAGGGTGCTAATTATATACTGGCCATGGTCATTTTGTATCTTTTAGTTTCATTGGTTTTTTAGTATTGTCTTATGGCTTTCTATTGGCCTTTGTGTTTCCCTCCAAGTTTTCTTTGTGTTTTTGGGAAATTCTTGCTTGGTTGCCATATGTGTTGGAAGTGTTTTTGTCTCTGATTTTCCATAGTTGTTTTACAAATCAGACATTGACCTTGAGACCAACATTTCCTATTGCATGGTAAGTAATTCTTTAATACTAATGAGTAATATAATTCTAATTCTATTAAATGTGAAATCTGTAATTTTTGCACTTAATTCCTTTAATCACTTTTCTGGAGTAAATGTATAGTGAGAGTGAGACCTTAGATATAGAGTTATGTGTAAATAGTAAATACAGTGCTGTCTCACTTTTTCATATTTTTAAAGTAAACTTTATTTTATGATTAGTATAGATATCTACAAAGTGTTTATTGTTGATTTGTAGATATTATCCTAGTACATATACAGTTTTGTGTATGCAGCTTATATGCTGTTGTACAGCATTTGACCCATTCCCATTGAATGGTACGCATGTTCATTGTTTTTATGCTAAACAATAATTGATAATGTACATATACATTGGAATAATAATTATTGTAAAGATTTTATTCTAAATATTCATTAATTAAAGCAATGGGAGATTTTATTATGTAATTTTCATGTAATTGAATTATCTCCCTTGATTCGGATAAAGCTATATGATATATTGATTTGTACATATATATTGATGAATAGCTTTATAGTTTTTATGCTTAGAATTTATAATTTGTTATTTCATTATAGGGTTTTGATGATGATTGATAAATAAAGAGTTACTGTCTTGTTCAACTCGAACCAACAGCCTTGTTGTTCATTCTTAACGACCACACAATTACCTCAACACAAGTCTGTTACATTTTTGGCGTCCCAATGTAACAGACTTGTGTTGAGGTAATTGTGTGGTCGTTAAGAATGAACAACAAGGCTGTTGGTTCGAGTTGAACAAGACAGTAACTCTTTATTCGATGGATAGATAATCATCAATCATCATCAAAACCCTATAATGAAATAACAAATTATAAATTCTAAGCATAAAAACTATAAAGCTATTCATCAATATATATGTACAAATCAATATATCATATAGCTTTATCCGAATCAAGGGAGATAATTCAATTACATGAAAATTACATAATAAAATCTCCCATTGCTTTAATTAATGAATATTTAGAATAAAATCTTTACAATAATTATTATTCCAATGTATATGTACATTATCAATTATTGTTTAGCATAAAAACAATGAACATGCGTACCATTCAATGGGAATGGGTCAAATGCTGTACAACAGCATATAAGCTGCATACACAAAACTGTATATGTACTAGGATAATATCTACAAATCAACAATAAACACCTTTGTAGATATCTATACTAATCATAAAATAAAGTTTACTTTAAAAATATGAAAAAGTGAGACAGCACTGTATTTACTATTTACACATAACTCTATATCTAAGGTCTCACTCTCACTATACATTTACTCCAGAAAAGTGATTAAAGGAATTAAGTGCAAAAATTACAGATTTCACATTTAATAGAATTAGAATTATATTACTCATTAGTATTAAAGAATTACTTACCATGCAATAGGAAATGTTGGTCTCAAGGTCAATGTCTGATTTGTAAAACAACTATGGAAAATCAGAGACAAAAACACTTCCAACACATATGGCAACCAAGCAAGAATTTCCCAAAAACACAAAGAAAACTTGGAGGGAAACACAAAGACCAATAGAAAACCATAAGACAATACTAAAAAACCAATGAAACTAAAAGATACAAAATGACCATGGCCAGAATATAATTAGCACCCTGAGGCTAACTCTGGACCTCTCTGGAAAAGAATCATTTAAAAATCAATACACTTAACTACAGGTTAAATGAATAATTACATAATTCAGCTGTAGAAGTGTGCTGCAAGTAAAAACATATATAATTAAATAAATGAATAGATGCACATGCAATATGCATTGCTATGCACATGTGCATAATATATAAAACATGAGTCTGTCACAATATGAACAATTTAAAGACGTTTTAAAGGGAGAAATTGTCTTGTTTCTTGTTTCTATATTAAATGATTGAAAATTAAATGATATTCATTAAAAATAACAACCCGAGTTATACTGGTCCAATTTTTAATACAGGTTATACAGTATTATACAGTTATTATTTTATTAATTCCTTAAATAAATTATCAATGTGCTAAAAATGTTAGTATTAGACTGAGAGTTGAAGCATCCTTCTTACAATCAAAATTGTATGCACGGTTCAATTTATTTATATACAAATGAATATTGATTACACATGTTAAAATTCATGTTTAATTTGATACATTTCAAATCAATTTTAATGCATGTCACAAGACATGCCACTGTTTAAAGAGGAGTCACTGCTAGGTTTGGTACTGAAACGTTTTCTTGTGGTTGGTATGGATACGAAGTATATCTTTTATTTTGACCAGTCGTTGAAACATGTTTTGTGTAAGTGCCTAGATAATCCATCGTTCTTGTGCATGAATCCGAACTTGTTCCATATTGAATTGCAGTTTCACACTTTGCACTGTATTAATAAGAATTTAGTGGGTGGTTAACTTCAGAAGGAGCCGTTGTTGCAAAGGAGGTTTGGAGGGTTAGTAACTGCAGCTATTTCATGAGTCACGTGAAAGAAAAAAACTCTAATTATGCAAGGAATTATAACATATGTTGAAAATACGATGTTCAAATAAGTACAAGAAAACAGTTTCTTCAGTTAATCATCGCAAATACGAGTATTAACTTGACGGGATGCAAATCCACTTGCATGTGATGGTCTGTTGCTGGGTTGCAGTGTTTTACTGTGAAACAAATATCTTAATCCGCTTCCCTGCCACAGCAGCAGGATTTGATGATAGAAACCAATATGCAACAGCCCATGATAGAACCAAAAATTATACCAAATATTACTGCGCTGTCCAAACTGAAAAAAGAAATGCATAATATTATATAATAATAAATATTTTAATAGTTTTTTTTAAGTAAGTACACCTGTATATCCTAAGCATCTTTCTTAGTGACACTCAGGCCATGCAATTTCACCTAAAAGTTAATGCTCTTGTTTTAAGTTTTGAATATCAAAAGCAATTACATTATAATTATGGTTCTCCTAAACTGATATATAAGTAAGAGTTTTCAGTATTGCTTACCCGGAGGAGGATTCATAGTAGCTGAAGGAAGTGGAACTGAACCGAGATCTTGCCCTGAATCTTGCATAACAATCTGGAAAGAATAAAGAAACCAGATATTATTGTCAAATTTAAATCACGTATCTTTATTTTGTTAAGAATACTTTTATAAAAATTGAAACTATATGCAATTTGAATGTTCTGAGTAAAATATGTCGAGCGACCTAAAACAACTCAACTGAAGGAAGCGACTTTAGTTTTTAATGATTCTTTTTTCACAGAGGAATCACCCACGTGGCGCAGTGGTTAGAGCGTTTGCTCTAGAGTCGCGAAGTAAGGAGTTGATCCTTACGTCCCATTGTATCCCACTTTGGAGACGGGTTCTTCGGATGAGTCCGTAAAAACCGAGGTCCCGTGTCGCAGTAGGTACTGGCATGAAAATGATTCCTTCGTGCTCAACGGCCCTGAGTGCCAAGTATAGAACAACATTTGCAGCTCTCCATCGCTAAGTTGTGGCTTTTCCATATAGTGAAAAATTCTTGAGAGGGACGTTAAACAACACACGATCAATCAACTTTCACTAAGGTAGAAAATAATTTATTTTCAAATGGGGTACATATTATGATAGAAAAGGATAAAAAGGATACGTAACGCGTCACTATTTGTTCCTTGATGTTCTTTAAAAACATAAGTGGTACGTATATGTTTGCGGTAATGCATATGTACTTCTGAATCATCTTGAAAAAAATATTGATTTTATAAAAGAAAAGGATATGCTATGGGTAACTTATAATTATATACAGTGATAACACCACCAAGTACTGTAGATCACTAAATTTTCGCGACACCTTATTTTCGCGAGATTATCATTGACTCTTTGTTAGCGAGACATAATTTTCACGAAAAGTTGATATTCCCCTATATAATCGTAAGAAATACTTTTATACGCGAGTATTAAATTTTCGCGAACGCACTGTCTCGCGTAATTACGCGAAAATAAAGTTCTCGCGAATAAAAAGTGATTTACAGTAATCCCGACTCTTTACAACATTAACAAAACCATTGATTTTTAAACCACGTGTACGCATTTTGAGAATGAATAGCTTTTTAACACATTTTATGTATGCCCTTCGCAAAGTACATTTTATAATATTTTTATCTCATCATAAACCATTTTACTAAGAACACTACCTAAGATTTCAGCCATCAGTTTGAAGTAGACATAATTACTGGAGTTGTTGTTTGGTACCTTCGAGGAGAACTTTTCATTCATTAATGCTAAGACACCGCTACTTGCCAGTGGAGGGATGCAAATCTAGATTCTTGCTCGGTACCTACCACTTTTGAGTGGTGGTGGGGGTTCTTTTTCTTACCAGCAAGGTGAACTCAAGGGACCTCGGTGTCCAAGGTCTCATCCTAAGAACCGGCATCCAGGTCCTGAAGTGGGACTTGAACCCGTGTCGTTAGAAACAACTCCGAACTCCGCAACTCTAGAGTAGACGCTCTAACCACTACGCAACATGGGTGACTATATTGAGTTTGAATTGATGCATAATTGGATATATCCGAGTTTACTAGATGAATCCCGTGATTCTTAGAATCTATTATGAATAATAAATGACAGTATGAAATTATGAAAATCAGTATACGACATACATTCACCAAGAAAAAGGCAAATCCAACAAATTAACAGGTATGATAATTTTTTTTAAAGCCATCTTCTTTTAAATTCACACCTGAATGTAAAATTTAGATTTTAAGAGAACTTTTTTTTTACATAAGTGGCAGACTGAATACTTTCAATTCCTAAAAGGAATTTCATTGCATGTGCTTGTCTGTACCTTTATATCCAGACAAACACGGACGGAAATTTCAAACTCGGAGAGTCAGCGGGGTATTTTAACATTCATTGAGTGTAAACGACTTTGAAGGTACATGTATTAAGAGCATATCTGAAATATATTTCTTCCTATATATTTTGGTATAACATGTATATTCCCAAGTTTAAATAGTTATTGTCAAATAAATAACTTGAACATTAATGACAAAATATACAAATTTAAAATAGTTCAATTTTCACGTTTTTAACTCGATAAATCTACGCTGCAGTGCATTAATCTGAAAATTTTAAGATGTATCAACCTGCTCTTTATTTCAGGAATTAATATATATATATAATACGACAACAACCTAAATACGAGGTGCACGCTGTTGCTGCAAATATGATTTTTTTAAAACACAGGAATTAAAATTCTATGGGACTAAAGCACATGCATTATTTTAATTTAATAAACGCAGTTATTGATAGCCTATTATGTATTTAATATAATTTCTTTTTCTTGGACTGCTGATAGTCTTGATTGTCTATATATGTTAAGAAATGATCAATTTGTTATTTGATTTGGAGGATAAATATAAAACTGAGTTACACTCATTAATATATTGCAGGTCGCTTGGTCTGATCCCATTGACTCATATTTTTCTTGCATAATATCTAAAATGTATTTTTTTAATTAAAAAAGAACAATATATATATGAGTATGTATAAACTATAAAAATAAATCATGCGACTGCTTTTTTAATCAACAATATTTTAAAAAGTATAAGTAAAAATCATCTTGCCAAAACAAAACTCGCTATGGTAATTATTAAATTAATTGATGAGACCATGTGCTAAAGGTAAACAGTCCATGGCCATGAGGTGATGCGGTTTGACATATTTTGTATCATATTCCCGGTATATTGCACCGCAGTTCAAGCAAAGCCTCACCTTTGTGCTTTTCTATTTTAAAGACGTTTTGGTGTCCTCGTACAAAAATTGAAGAAAAAAAATAGTATGGTAGTTTTTGAAATATTCAAATATAGTTTGCATTTTTATTAGACAATCCTAGTTTTCGATTTCGTATTATATAATTTTTCGATATGAGAGGTTCTTGCCCCCTTTTAAAAAATGACTATCCTCAAAGTTTGCATAAAAGATATTGCATTTTTTTTTTGGTTAACAGAAACATCGGCAAAAGACCCACTATATCTTAGTAATATATACACATCTTTACCAGAAATAAGAAGTCCATTTAATAAGGGATCATGGCACAACCAAAGCTTTAATGCCAACACTTATCAGAAGCTACAGTACATGTATGTAGCGTAGAAGTTAAAGTGTACCTAACTCATATGAAAATCAGGAATTTTCTCGCTAGGGTTTGAACCCATGAATTCTGTATTAATTCTAAATAACAGAAAAATTTCTGTACATTTTTTTTCCTCGGAAAAGTTTTCAGTAACATGTCATTTAAATATGTAGTCACAATTCACAAACTGGATATGATTTTATAATTCTGACACTCTAGACAGTCTGTATTCCTTGTTCACCCATCTTTTTTTAAAACAGAGTAAGCATTACTTATCTACAAAACAGAGCAAATCATTCAGCTCTGAAAGAAGCTTTTTCGTCTTTTGCGCACGTAATATTCAATACAAAAAAAAACACCAAACAAATCATTTAACATCAAAAATATCTCTGAAGCAGCCACTTCTGTATGTTTGCAACGAAAATTTGCAAAATACATGTTCTTGTTAATCGAATTCAAGATAAACTATTAGATATAATGTTCTTTGTTATATATGAACATGTATCTAACGAAGGGGAAATATCATTCACATTTATGTTATTTTAAAATTTATTGATAAAGAAATAATAACAAGAAGGAAATCAAATTGTATACATCTTGAACAGTTTCAAGAAGAAGAATAAAAAAAAATACATGCAAAACGTTATACTTTATAATTTAAAATGCAAAAGCATTTGCATACATGTAAGTATATCTCATACAGTTGTAACTTTCATTTAAAATTTATATGTTAAGCTTTATATGGAGGGGGATCTGTCATGTTGGATCCTTTTTCCTGTGAAGGGTAAGGAGGGGACATCACTGTATTTTGACCAACCACTGATTCATATGATGGCGCAGGTTCGTTTGTATACGGTGGCAGAGGTAACGCACCAAGCTTGTAGCTTGGCACTCCATTTCCATATTGAAAGGCATTGTTAAAATGTCCATTGCATGGAGAAAGATGTATAGGGGAATGAAATCTGGCAGTGGAATTTGCAGCATTGGATTGTGTTGGGTAGTGAATCCCAAAGTTTGTATTTGCTGTAAAAATAAAGAACATTTTTTCACTTAGAATTGCTATTAATTTTCATAACAGATCTTATGAGTGACAGAATTGAAATAACTACATCTTGAGAATTTAATCTGAAATTCAGTATTTTGATGAATCATAATTTGTGGTACGTCCTGTAGGTAAAAATATTTTTCGTATTTATACATCTTGTTTACACTAGTTTTTCACTTAAAACTTTTCAGTTACCAGATTTGAGCGGGAAAGAATTGCAGTTATCCTCAAGTTGCACGTTTGTATAGACTATAGACATATACAGACATACAGTAAGAAGTTATTCGTAAAAAATGGTTTTCAGTACAAGAACCTACATGTCACAATCCGTTGTTGGGTCCCTGTATTCAAGTACATCACACCACGAGTGTTGGCATTTTCTTTCTTTCCTTTACAGCAGAGGCAGCAGCAAATGATGGTTAAAATGATAACGATAGAAAACCCAATAACTCCTGCGATTGATCCGCCACTGGAGCTTAAAATAACAATTTACTGTTTGATAAACAATGTATTTCTATGTATCAATATTGTAACAAATATTGACATCCTTACTGATGGTTCTTATTATATACTGATATTGAAAATGGCACCAACTCTCAAAAATTACCCATTACAAACTAATTATGTGTTATCAGATGTCATGATTTTAGCACAAGTCCCGTTTTCATAAAAATTTTAATATACTCAAAATGTATAACTAAAGTCTAGATTTTTAAAAATATATTTGACTTACCTATAATAGCTTTTGTATGAATACATGTATGGACTATAATATCTGTAATTCCCATCACAGTCTGTTAAAACAAATTCATTCATATTTATTTTTAAAAATATATAATACAATTTAGTCATGTATATTTAATTTATTTACTTATAATATAATCAATATGAAATTTAATATTAGAGAGATTAAATCGGTTAAAAATTCGTTTAGCACATATCTTAAATATAAACATTAGAGGCACAAAGAAATGCATGATTCAAAATTTCCATTTGTTTTTAGATTATATATTCCCGAGGGAAAAAGTCGAATAACCGCAACCCTTCATGTGTAAGTATTTTTTTTCAGTTTTAAAATATTTTCAACAAATAGTTAAAATTTACATCCCTATTCTTAAGTCAATAATCATATATTTTAAACAAAATAAAGATCAAACAAAAACAGACAAGTCCATTACAGTTCAGTATATTTAGGTTGACATACATTTGTAGAAAATTTTCAATTTCCCTTTCCTACACACATTTCTGTCATTATATAGGTCACTGTAGTGACAGAGTTTTTCGATGGAGAAAAGGTATTTAAAACATGAATGAAATTCAAAACAATCATTGTAAAAGTATGTGTGAAGAAAGTCGTTGTAAAAGTATATGTGCCATGCAATATATCCTTTATGATATTGTTATTATCTTGTAGGTGTTTTCCCCTTATATTTGTCAAAAAAAAATTTTTCTTCTTTTAATACTGATTTACTTTTTGGAATCTTATTTATAGAGTTTAAATTCTTTTGAATTCTTCGTCTCTTATCTATTAATAGAAGATAAATTTGGGGGCTGGTACTTTCTTTTCATGTGAGGAAATGGGTATTTTTTATTTTTTAGAAAAAAATCAATTATTAGATAAATGAAATAGATTGAAATATTAATAAACTTATAAAAAATGCAATTTTAGATAAAGAAGAACACAGAAACTTCCACTGTAGAAGGAATATCATTACTCTCGGAAGGAAGAAGACTCCAATTAAATAGTACTAATTATAAGACGTAGTGCTTAATAAATTTAGAAAATGTGAACATCGAGTTTGATAGGTACCTTCAATCAACATTAGGAATATCCATAAAATAATTGACGATATTGATTTGTCCTGAGCCATCTTCTGTGTTCAATCGAGGAAGTAATTTAAACAGACGTAGTTTCTCGTTTAAATAATTGAAGCATGAAGTTTGTCAACACGTTAATGTGTTACTAAATATTAAACCCACAACAAATGGGTGCGTCTGTTCTGAAGGAGGAATGCCACACCAGAATTTTATCTTATAGATCTTCAAGACAGGCTTTTACACTAAGTTTTCGGTATTGAAAGACCAGTATTAGCTCTTAATGATTTTATAAGTTTTTTTGTGTGCATTTTTTCAGTGAAAATGAAAAAAAATGTTTTATTTACAAATATGGTGCTTTATGGTTTAACCTTTGCTGTAAATACTTGGAAATACATGATATAAATGCTTATTAAAATATGTAAAGAAAGGCTTGGTAAATATTTTAATTTTTTCTACTGAAAAATTATTTATGAAAATAAAATAGATTATTTTGAAATATTTTTAAAACCTACTGTCAAAATCTTCATAAAACTAGTCACAACTAGGGAGAACATGTTATTTAATCATATTTTTAAAATACATTGAAATGAAATTGCTGAATTCTAGAGAGAAATTTTTTTTGTTCAAAAAATATCAACAAATAATGTTTTACTTGCATTAATTGTATTTGTAAAACACTTTAAATGTCTCTGTGGCTTTTCTTTACACATTTTATTTAGATATTCATATGATGCATTCATTAACAGCAAAGTTTTAACACTAAAGCATCTATTTGCAAATAAAATATATTTTTCATTTTCTATGAAAAAAATCAAAGAAATATATAATTAAAAAATAGCTTTTATCGGCCTTTCAATACTTAAATCGTAACTTAATAGGGAAGTCTTAAAGATCTATGAAATAAAATTTTGGTGTTGCATTCCTCCTTAACGTCTCAGAAACATTAAAATCGTGAATAAAGAATGATTTGTTCATAACTATGAAATCTATTATCGATTTGAAACTTTTACAACTTTTCAAAAAAGTGATAAACTTAAGTTTTATATGTTTTATATCCAAAAAAAAAAACACCTAGAAATTAAATGGTAGTATATACAGTTAACGTTGATAATTTAGTATATACAATATATCAAGTATCTCTAAACTTAACATTTAGTGAGATTTAAAAAAAAAAGAGAAATTATTTCCAAAAACATACAAGATGAATGGGTCGTTCTCATGTTTGAGACACCTATATGTAAAGGTTTGTTCCCATTTCGCCTTAACTGTAAAATTTAGCATTCCCATTTCGCCTTAGCAAGCTTTCAGGTGGATGAAGGCGAGATGGAAACTTATATAAACACCTGTTCAAGTCTAAAAAATTGTTTGTATACTAGTACATATTTAGCATAAAATATTTTTATTTTTATTTGAATACCTAGTATAACATGTATTAATTCATTCACTGTGTAAATGCTAAGTTTTTCTTATTTTTTCTACAGATTATACAAACGAAAAAAAGAAAAGAAAAACAAGATTTTCAAATATTTCGTTTTTTACCACTAAAATTTTCATTCTTAAATCTATAATTTTTTGAACTGAGTAATAAACTCGTGAGTACAAAAACATCTGGTCAATTAACAAGTTTTGTTTATACAACTAGTACTGTATCATAAGAAAATTCCAGTTTCGCCTTAGTATATTTTAGTCTTTTCTTACATGTACCGGATATTTCATAGTTAAGGCGAAATGGGAACACATCCATGCAAATACCATTCCTTGTTTCTTCTTTCAGAAATATCATTAAATTTTATAGGGCAGTGCAACCAATCATAATTAGAAAAATTTCCCTTTTTATGGGTTCTTCGCGTTTAACATAAAAATTAATTGATGAAAAGGTATGCACATTTTAAAATAAAAATCTTTATTTCACACTTGTCTATAGACTTCCATGGTACTTACATTAAGTTGACAAGCCATCTATACATATAAAAATATTCATTTCACATGCCATAAATATGTATATCTCATTATTGTTTATTCATTTAAAACGTACAACAATTATTTGTGTTTAAGAATAACACAAAATACAACTTGTTACAAATGATTTGCATGGATGTACGTTTAAAATAATGACAAAGGAATATGATTTTCACAATCACAAATGTATACATGGCAAAATTAAATTATGAATCACACACATAATTCTTTTGAATAGAATTAAAATCATTAAGTATTTCAAATTTGTCATTCTTTTTGTTGGGAAGGCATCTTTATGTTCGATACTAACATTTTCCCTTGTGTTTGGTAGGGAGACACAGCACTTCTGTTATGGCCGTTTGTAGATTTGTATGATGGTGGAGCATTGTCAAACTGTTGTCCAGAGTATGTATCATATCTCTGTTTAGGGTCTTGTATTCCATACTGAAATGCAGTATTATACTGAGCGCCTTGTGGATAAGCCTGTGAAGGGAAGTTAACTCCAGGAGTAGCCATATTTGCTGATGCCTTTGAAGGGTAGGTAACTCCAGCCATAGAATTTGCTGTAAAATTGAAAAGCATATATCAACACAGTAAATCAACAATGCTAAAATTGCGTATGGTTAAATATGATCGGTCACTGGATACTTATTTCTATTTATTCTATCTTTTTATTCAATGCATATGTTCTTTTTAAGGTCGATGTGTTGACATTTTCAATTAGTAATGCAAAATTATTTCATAATAGGTTTCTCTGATTCCTTAAAGTTATCTGTAGAATATATGTTTGTTCATTAGCCATCATTTTAAATGCAATGTGGAATTAAGTCATACATGTAGTAATCACAGCCTATGAAGTAAAAAATATGAAGTAAAATAAAATACTATATTTCAATTCTTTTTAACCAATTTTGAAGTTGACATGTTACCAATATTTGTTTTATCCTCAGGTCTGTTCGAACATGATTGAATGACACAAGCTAAAACGTTGTAACAATGATTACCACTTTTCAACCATCATATCAATTTGCAAGTTGTGAAGTACAAGTCTTGCTCAAGTCTAACTCTTCTCCTATACACACTTTCAACTTTTCACTTTCAAACCCTTCTAAACGCAAATGCCAAGTACAAAAAAGTTTTATTTTTTACATTATGCAAGAAATTATTTATTTTGTTGTTGACATCATGTGAAATTGCACAAAGGATTGGTAGTCAAAGCAAGCATTTTTTAAAATCAATGTGAAATTACTAATTCTCATAGGGTTTAATTTTTAGTTGTTTTGGAAGTATGGAGAGACGCACAAATTTATGACCACCAACGACATGTAAAATGTCATGTGCATTACTACATGTACTAAACATTTTCCAACCACGAAATCAAATCCCAACAAACCAATATTTTATCCTCAAAACCTCGAAAATTTGACCCCAAGAAAATATTTGATTAAGCAGTATTTGTGTACACTTACATGTGACGATCTGTTGCTTGTTTGCGGGGTTATACTGTAGAACAACCCCTTTGTTCGCTCCCTCTTTACTTCGACTACAGCAGCATACGATGATACAAATTAATATGATAGTAAATACGATAGATCCGGAAACAATGCCAGCAATCGCTCCTGCACCCAAACTAAAAAAAAGAAATATCAAATTATTAGCTTCAATAAATTGAAATAAAATGGATATATATTTAATTATCACTCGAAATTTGCAATATTGTCTTTGAGTCAAGGTTTATGCTTTCAACTCTCGGTATAATTTTTTGTAATTTGGTTCTCAGGATCTACCGTTTAAGTTAGATGTTCCTGTATACATATGTATCTTACCTGGACGAGGATCCATAACTCCCATACGAGCTGTAAGTGGTGTACCTGAACCGAAATCTGGTCGCCCTGAATCTTGCTTCACAAACTGAGGAAGAAAAAGAACTCAGTCATTACCACATAGTTAAAATAAATCATACATGTATATATTCATAAAAATCAAAATTGCGTCATACCTTAACACTCTTAAGGAAAATATGTTGAAGAACCTTTCATGTTTTTTTTAATCATATGCGAAAAATATTTTCAAATTACGTTCTTATTCTAACAAGAGGCGCATGGGCCTTATAGGTCAACTGAGTACCATGTAACAACTTTCCAACAATTGAATTTGGTTTGTGTTTTAAACCAGAGGACATGAAATTCACAATTTTGAAAGAGGCACCATTGCTTATCATAATTATAAACGTGGGGTGCCTATGCTATTTACTTAATACCCAGAAGTAGATCCGAGTAACACAGAGAAAATGCACTTCCACTTTATAACCAGTTGTGCACCCCGCCTCAAAGGAACCACTGACCCTGGAGCCACATATTTCAAAATTTTGGAAATTTAATCATAAATTTTATCATCATAAATGGTTGATTAATACCAAAGAGCAGATTTCAAAGCATTAATTTATTTTCAGACTATGTAACACCCCCCCCCCGATACCCCTGACCCAGGGGGCATGAAATTAATCATTTTGCTAGATGCACATTTTTTCATCATAAATATATATACTTGGATCATTAGCATAATACTCAGGAGCAAAGGAAAAGATTCTCAAAGAATTAATGTATTTTTACTATAAGGAGCAGAGAAGAAGATTTTTGAAGAATTAATGCATTTTCACTATATAATCAATAGAGCCCCACCCTAACACCAGAACCCCTGACCCTATGGCCATAAAATTCACAATTTTGGAAGAGGCACTCTTGCTCATCATAACTATGTTCTTAGTTAGTTTATTTAATACCCAGTAGCAGAGAAGAAGATTCTCAAAGAAATCATGCATTTTCACTATATAATCAATAGAGCCCCACCCTAGCACTAGAACCTCTGACCCTGGGGCCATGAATTTCACAATTTTGGCAGAGTACTCTATAGACATTACATTCATGCTAACAGTTTGCCTGCTTGATGTCAAGGAGTAAAGAAGATTTTTAAAGATTTCATTAATTTTAGTGGTTTTGGCCCCACCCTTTAGGCCCCAAGGGGGCAGGGACCATGAAGTTCTCAATTTTTGTTCCCCTTCACCCATAGATACTGTATACAAAATTTGGTTAAAATTGGTTCAGCGGTTTCAGAGAAGAAGCTGAAAATGTTCAAATGTTAACACACGACGGACGACAACGGACGAAAACGGATAGCAATAGGTCACCTGATTGATTCAGGTGACCTAAAAAGACGGGTACATTGCACGTTATATTTTATTTACAGTGCATGCTAAATATTCTCTGACAGCACAGAACACGTACCAGTAATTTTGCGATATATGTACTCGTATTCTTGACTGTTGGCAAATCAAGTTTGAATATTAATTTTTTTTTTTTTAGGGCTGGGCAAAAATATCGATATTTCAATATATTGCAATACAATGACAAAAAATACTTATTGCAATACGATTTTGTAATATCGATATATTGGCAATATGCTTAGATTAAGGAATTTTATCATTAGATAGATATAAAGATGGACTTATGAAAGGTTTGTTATTCAGCCAAACAGTAAGACAAGTTGTTTGTAAGAGTATTTCAGAGCATAACTTAAATGAAATCAACAAGATTTTTCTTCTGTGTTGGTTACTTATCATAGGTATGTACATTCTGCATGTAAATTAAAGTAAATATAGTAAGAAAATGCGATTTTAATTACATTGAAAATGTTGCAATACATATCGCAATACAGTTAAAAATATCGCAATACGAAATCTAGGGCCAATAGCTAGCCCTAGTTTTGTTTTATATAAATTCATATAAAAGTGTATTTAAAAGGGGCTGTAATCAAGGGGGAAAAACAAACGTGTCCTCCACCTATTCTCATTTTTTAAAACTCAATTTCACCATTTCTCACTGATCTAAACAATAGATGTTTTCATAGTTATTTTAAAATTGTTTTATAGCAACTAGGTTAATCACACACTCCTTAGGTTTTTATTCATTTTTCTACACTTTACGAAAAATAACAAAATAGATGCTAGAAGATATTAAAATTTTCAAAAAAACAATTCTTTGGAAAATACGTTTGAATGCAATGAAATATATTTATTATAAATATGCAAACCTTAGGAGAATAATATTTATAATAATTTTTCAAATAAAACTTAAAGAAACTATTTTTTTTAATCAACTAATGTGAATTAATCACTTTTATAAAGAGTATCTGTATCTTTCACGAGATAAATCTTTATTACACCACATAAATACTTTATTACAAGAAGCCATCATTAAGGTGAAATGGAGATTCCCACTTTCCCCACTATTTAAAAATCTCAATTTCATGCACCGACTCATACTGCCAAAAACAATATACATGTATGATTTCATAGTTAATATGTTTTAAATAGAAATCAGGTTAATTACGCAATCCTCATTTTTCTCTTCATTTTTAATACTTTATTGATTATAGATAAATTAAACATTTTTCCCCTCTTAATAAAAAGCAGATAATTGTCTTCGTCAGGAGCCTTTCTTATTTTAAAATAAAAACTTGTTAAGTGTTTGAATAAGCCACAAAATTTGGAGAAAAGTGAAAGACTGCAACTTTACAGTTCAATACATTTTTTGAAAAATTATAAATATACATGTATAATGAAGATAGAGAAAAAAGATACATCCATATAGATAGATATATAAATATATGCAGTTTTTATAATTTGATGTAAATTTCAAAATTAGGTTTAGTGATTGATTTTAAACAGATATAACGTAAACCATCTACGTATTTGCTACGAAAATATCAAGCACATCTATTAACACGTACATGAATGAGAAATTTCAATTTTTTCGGTTATATATGAAAATTGTCATACGACATACCTTCAGCAAGAAAAAGACAAATCCAACAAATTGACAAAATATATGATGAATTATTTAAAGTCATCTTTTAACTTGGACCTAGGTTTAAATGTCAAAAAACTAATTTGATTAAGTGACAGACTTTATACTTCAAGTTTTAAAGTGAAACTTCTCTTTATATGTACTTGTTTGCACCTTTATACTGAGAGAGACCCGGATGGAAAATTTCCAAATTCGAGAGATGGCGGGGTATTTCGCAATCATGTTGTTTACAGTTTTAGGAGTAATGTACATTGGGGGTATTGAAATGATATCTAAAGTAATTACGCCTGTTCTTTGTCATATTGCCATTTTATATTCCCAGATATCGAGTCGTTATAGTTTATATATAAAACAAATGGAATATTATTCTTACGAGTTAAGTTTAAACTTTGAAAAAATTACTTTACCTTTTTTTAAGTGAAATGTCAAATCGCATAACTTCTGCCCAATACTTCAAGGGTTCTTTTGAAAGAAAATGACCATAAACAGTGCAGATTTAAAGACGAGATATAGACAAATATATAGTTATGATAAATAAACAAAACATTCTTACCAGTTATATTTTCAAGTTTTTAAAATCATATTACTAACTAAATCCTTCTGAAGTTAAAATAAGACAATCCACACAGCTATTGTTATTATTTCTGGAATTCTTTAAATAAGAAAATTACCTATAACAGTGCAGGTATCTGCAAATAAACAAACAAACAAAACATTCATAGACCATGTCATCAACGTTTCATTCACATAAAATAGAGGAGAGTACTAATGTGCATTTACAGTCGCTTTTACATACTTTAAAAAATTCTTTTTCTTCCTTATAATGCAAAATGGTGACTGTTCATTTGCAATTATTATCTACGTGTAAGGCAGTATTGTTATCATTTTTTAAATGTGAAATACATTGAAAGTTTGACTTTATTGGGATTTTATCTTCATTACATCAAATAAAATGCCCCCTGCCCCTTCCCTGTCTGACAGGTAAATAAAACAATTTTACAGATAACGCTAATCTCTCCACGAAGTTTGTTCTTTGAGTTGCGAAATGGCGCTTGGAACTTTGAAATGTTATTGAATATTTGTATCGTCCAGTTTGTCAATGTCTTAGTGTGAAGGCAGTATTAAATGAGATAGGAGAAAAAAAATAGACTGGATCGCATAAGATGCAAAATGTGAGTCCGAGAATGAAAAATTAAATGATATGCGCTAAAACTTAATTACTTGTATTTTACTTTCATAAACATCACGAGCTTTATTTTAATGATTTTGATAAAAAGTGGTTGCATCATACATGACATGTGTATCGCTAATTCAATTAACAAACAAGCAACATCATTCGACTTTGAAAATACAATTATATGTACATGTATATCAATATATATATTAGCCATAATTGGACAGCATATTAAAAAAAATCATTATTATCAAATCTATTTAAGGAATGAATTTAACAGCTACCCATTTTATACGGTATAAACTGGGTTGGGGCAGTTTACGGTTTATAAAAAAGCGTAAACTGTTCCAACCCAGTTTATATACCGTACAAAATGGGTAGCTATTAAATTCATTGCTTATAATTTAATTTTTATTCATTTAATGTAAGAAAAAAAGATGATTGTTCTAACAAAATGACTTTAATTTGTACAAATTTGAATGTAACGTCAGGCGGATTGATACGTTTTTGACGTAAGTCATTGTGACGTAAGCAACCCATTTTATACATTATAAAGTAAATTTTTTATCCAATCAAATACAGCGTTACAACCAGAATTAAATTATCAAATTTTCGTGCATATGTTACTACCAGAATGGTGTAAGTTATCTTTTCTTCTGATGGACGAAAAAGGAAATGTAAACATAAGAACTTTTTATTTTTAAAAGCCAAAAATTGCAACAACAAAGAAGCAGGAAGTGATTATTGAAGCACCTAATACCTTTTTCTAATTAGAAATGGAACTTGGTCCATCTTTGCTATTTTAGAGGTCTTTGTTTGCTTTTTTAAAAGTAAATTTTGGTCTCTATGCACTTTTGAGCTAAATTACCGTTTTTTATCTTTTTTTCTTTTATAGGTTGATTTGTTGTATCTATCAATGCTTGCAAAATGTTTTTTTTTATAAGTTTTCCGTTAAAAGATTTTTTAATGATTTAAGTCATTCTACAAACAACAATCGGTACAGCATATAAAGATATACATATAAAATATTCGGGTAGTAGTTTTTCTGTTCAAGAACAAAGATTTAAAGATAGTGGAGAAAATATTGATGTATTTATCGGACATGCATACTCGTAACATTTTAGGATTTTCTGATCAATTATTTAGAAGTGAAGACATTTTTACAATTATTAATTTTAAGACATTAAAAATGTCTAATTTTTATATTGCTGTTCAATATATAATATGCATATCCAATTAATGAAGAAATTATCAACTATTTATTGCAATCCTTTATTAATAGAACATAAATTTAAAATTCAAATTTCGAGGGGAAACACCATGGAAAAAAACCCATGATGCATAAACTTTGTAAACAGGTAAACCTTTCAACACAATAACGAGGAATGGAAATGGGTGGAACTGATCGGAAACCGAGTGGAAAATTGCGTCGTATAGAAATCAGGAAGGTAATTATTTAGTGTTGAATTACTTTTTTTAAAATTTCAAAAAATAAAGATATCGAGATAACGATCGGCTGCTCTGCAAGAGTATAATTATGCTATTTTAGGTATTCCCCAGTTGAATAACACCGAAGTATACATGTATAAGTATATAAATCGTTTAAAAATGTATTGGTTTTCGCTAATAATCGTACTATTACTACTGAAACATTAGTCGGGCAATATTTTAGCCTCAATAGTTATTATAAATGACCTTATCTTTTAAATATGCAAAAATAATAATGGTAACATTAGATGTTTTAATTTTAAATTGTAATTTGATTACTAGTATTTGAGCTGGACAAATATTATAAATAAATTTTTTGTCGTCATGACATTTTAAAAATTATTAGTTTTTTAAAGTAAGTTTTTTTTTAACAAAGGGAATCCTAAGAATGTAGCAAACATTCGGGAAATCTTTGTGACTTAAGAAGGAATGCCATCTCAAAATTTATTCCATAGGTCTTTAAGGCATCCCTATTAAGTTAGGGTTTCGGCCTTAAAAGGCCAAAATGAGCTCTTATATCTTTTATAAGATTTCTTTTCATTGAAAACGAAAATGAATATAATTCGCAAATAAGATGCTTAATGTTAAAATATTTCTGTTAATAAATGCATTATATTAATATCAAATAACATATGTCAAGAAAATCCTTTTAAACATTTAAAATTCTTTACCAAAAATTATTTATAAAATTAAGGACATACGCAACGTACCTTACCTACTGATAATTTTTTAAGATATTCTTAATTTCAGATTATAGTAAAATCAGATGTTCATAGACAAAAAATCAGCATGCATTACCAGGAGTTTTTGATATCTTTTTGGACAAAGAAATATGTATATATAAAAAAAATAAACATATATTCTAGATGTTTCTTTTATCCAAAATTGTCATAGAAGAAGTGTACAACACCATATATAGAAGTTAAAATATAACACACAGTTCCTTCAAGAATTAGAACTCTTCAGCTCCATGGAAAAAGACAAAAACATTCAAACTACGTTGCGTGTGACCTTAAATCACATTATATATAAACATATTTTAGATTTTAGACCTACGCATGGTTAAAATCTTCATAACACTAGTCAAAATATATGCTTTATCTTTTCATAAATAATTTTTTATTTAAAAAAATTAGAATGTCTTTCCAGTCTTTCTTTACAAGTAATAACGACAAATATTAAACAGTAAAGCATCTTATTTGCAATTAAAACATTATTTCCATGAGAAAAAAAAATGCAAAAACAGCATAAAGTAATTAAAAGCTAATACCAACCTTTCAATACTAAAACCATACTTAATAAGGGATGTCTTAAAAGATCTGTGAAATAAAATACTGGTTTGGCATTCCTCCTAAACAAAGACAAGAATGTATAAGCTCAACAGAAAAAGTCGAAAAAAAATTTTATGCATTTTCGTCTTAAATTCAACACACCATCTGTGACTAGTATCTCAAGCTAACAATGTATTCTCATTTGTTGAATTACAAAACAAAGCACATGAAAAGAACATGAAGACAAATTTTAGTAATATGACCTTTATAATATAATTTTCACTTACCACTTAGCCATTTATTATTATGGATGATGAAACATTTATTCAGGAGACAGTAGTTAAAGATATGACAAAACAAGACATTCCACAACTTGTACCATAATTTTGACCTTGAGTTGAGATAAACCTAATAATAGGATCGAAATACACCAAACTTGCAAAACAGCGAGTGTAAAAAAAATCTTTGAAGACCAGAAGGTACTACACTGAGTGGCCAAAAGTATTGCAACAAACATGGCTGACGTCATCAAGATTAACTCGCTTCAAATTTTGTTTTCAATATTGATATATAGATTTGGAATATAAAAAAATGTGAATAAACATATATTCTAGACCGTTTAAGTTTTAACTTGAGCAGGCGCTTTCCGCTGTGTCGTGAACGTAAATAATGTCGAAGAAAAAGAGAGAATTGTCAACTGAATTAAAGGAGCGGATCGTACTATTAAACTCTAGGGGATTTAACAACAATAAAATAATTGAAGCATTGGGAATCCATTAAATATAACACACAGTGGAAGGCCACAGTGACAGATGAGAGGGGTGATCAATCGAATTCTGGAAAACAAATCGCCGACAATCTCATGGAAAAGCAACAGAAATGAACTAACAAACGTGTCTATTAGAACTATTCGACGCAGATTGCATCAAGAAGGATACAGGCGGGGTAAAATCCAAAAAACGTTGACAATATGTAAAACTAACCGTCAACGGAGAATACTGTGGTTAAAAGACATTTTATCACAAAAAGTCATATTCTCGGACAAAACACAGGTAGTTATAGGACAAAATAATTCTGTGAGTTTATGGACAAATCTAGTCAAAACAAAACGTATGGAACGCCAAATTAACATATATTCTTTTGTACCTATCTTCAAATAAATAATTTTTTATGAATTGAAAAAAAATTGAATTAAAGATAGGTGCAATTCAATTAACGATAGGTACAATTGAATAAAAGATAGGTATAAATAATTATACCTATCTTTAAATAATTATACCTAGGTACAAATAATTATAATCTTTAATGGAATTACAAGCATCTTTAATTCAATTAAAACATTAATTATACCTATCTCCAATTCGTTTGAAGATAGGTATAATTGATTTAAAGATAGGTACAATTCAATTGAAGATAGGTTTCATTGATTTGAAGATAGGTTTAATTAAGACATATCCACAAATGATTTGAAGATAGGTACAATTCAATTATACCTAGGTTCAATTCGTTTTATGTTGTTGCTAAATAATGAACGCTCCCTTGGAGACAATATTGAGTATGGAGGGAGACACACAGAACCTACAGAGCAACGACAACAAGGATGAAAGGAAAAATAAAGGTTAATTAAAAATGTGCAAAAAGCATCATATACTTATAAAAATACACATGTATATCATGTAGGTATATCTTGTATTGCAGCCAAATGAAGATGCCGATTTAAAGCTGAGACGTATCGGAAATGACGTATGATAAAGGGAGTAGTTGATATTGCCAATGTCTTAAAAATTTCATTTTGCATCTTTAAATCAATTATACCTATCTTCAATTCATTGCATTTGTACACTACAAATCAATGTATATCTTCAAATGAATTAAAGATAGGTACATGTATAATTGAATTGTACCTATCTCTAATTCATTTGAAGATTATAATTGATTTACAAAGCAATTCATGAAAAGAACAATTCAATTGAAGATAGGTACAAATATTTGAAGATAGGTACAAATATTTGAATATATGTTAATTTGGCGTTCCATAAAAACGCCCATCAAAGTAAGTTGTATGTTTTGGGGTTGTATTACCTACGATGGTATTGATGTTCCCAGTTGAGCCAACTATTCACTTATGGCCAGTTATTGCTAAAGTGTTTGGAAACATTTATTTTCCAAGATGATAACGCAACACCACACGCGTCTAAAGATGCATGGAAACGAGACAACGGTATTCAGAAATTTAGCTGGCCTGCCCAAGACCTTAATATAATCGAAAATGTCTTTGTATTAAAATCAAACTATCCCGTGAGATTGACAACATTCAAAACAAGAACAAGTCGACTTGGTGGCTGCAGTTACTAGAATCTGGAATGGACTCTCCCAGACGTACATTCGTAGCCTATATGCTTCAATTCCTTCCAGACTACGAGTTTATCATCCAAAAAGGCTATGCAACAAATAACTTTTATTTTATAAAAAAATCGTTTTTGTCTTATGCATGACGTCAGCCATGTTTGTTGCAATACTTTTGGCCACTCAGTGTATTATAATATATCAGAAACCTTAATTCTCCAACCTTCTGAAGGAAAAAATTGTGTATCAAACTCAAAGAATAAAATAATAGGAACCCATGTTAATAAATTGGATCCAAGGTGTTTTTTTTTAAGTATAAAAAATTCCATGATATCCTTATGTCGGATAAGGCGGTGATGCATTTGAACCAAGGTTGTTGTGTGGCAATGTTGGATAAGGCGACTCTTTGTTCCCATCGGCATTAAGGCTCAACCCATTCTCTGGAGACGGATAGGGCGGAGCTGTTCCTCCATTTGGACCAAAAACTGAATCATACGCTGGGGCAGGCTCGTTATATTGTGGACCAAATGTTTGTCCGGTGGCAGGTTGGAGGACAGGAACATTTGATGCTGGACCGCTCTGATACGGAGGAGGATAAACCACGCCCGGTGTCGTGTTTGCTGTAATGGAAAAAAATAATATTATTAATTGCAGGATAAACAAAATACATGATAACTGTCTTGAATAAGCGATTTTTGGGCTCAGGTAGAAAACGTAAGAGGGCTCGGCAAGCCTCGCCTCCCTCTATCACGTTTTCTTACCCTCGCCCAAATATCGCTTCTTTTTCAAGAAAGTTACCATGTATTTTATATATATATTTCATACATATACTTTAACTAAATTGAGATGATTAAAGAGTGAAATGAGTTATCTTTCTTAGTGTCGGGAAATTAAATATATTTTTAGGAATAATGATCAAAATACCTGATCAAAACACCTACTAGTTTTATTTAGGATAATTTATTATATTTTGTTTTATTTAGGTAAGAGTATAGTAAAGTCTTAATTCAACCTTAAAAATGTGTTGCAGACAAATGGAATTGCCCTAAAATACGCAACTAAATTATTTAGAATTCGCTGCTGTTGCAAATATAAACCTATCCAAGCGGGCTTACAAAGGGAAACTTTACTTAATAAAGAGCGTACAATAATAGTCAACGTACTTGTTATGATGGCCGTATTGGTTGTTCCAGAGTTAAGGTATCTGACTGTGCCAGTTGTTTGCCTTCTCCTTTGCTGGTATCTACAGAAACAACAGCAGAACACCGCTCCAGTAACGAGGAAGATAACTGCGGAAATACTTCCACCAATAATTCCTCCGCTTAAATCAAAGACAAACAAAAGGATACAGCTTAAACATGAAACATATGGATATCGCGAACAGTATTCAAAATCATAGACCTCCAAAATATCATAGTTGGGGTCAGGTTGCATGGAGGAGTGAGCATCCCCTACCGACCGGTCACACCCGCCGTCGTTCCAGAATTATGGGTACAGTATATTAATGATTTTAACTTAACAATTATTGATTTTTGTAATAAAAAAAACATGTTATACAAGCATTTCTCATGATTAACTAAAACTGAGCCTTTTAACATTTAAACCTTACAGCTATTTCAATAAAAAAAATGAAACCCGGAATTTTTTTTTATCTTTTGGTCATCAACAGAATCGCTTATTTTAAGCTCAAGTACTGAAGTTGATATTAAAGGTGTTATACATGTTATACATTCATTTAACATCAATTTAGTAATTGCAGACTAGGTCTTCCGACAATTTGTTTATTTTTTTCCTTTATTGGCAGACTTGTTTTAGTTTTCGGATCTTCTTTCATTAACTTGTTTGTCATGTTTTAGAAATTATTTGTACGTTGAAAATGCTCTTGCGTATCGAATTAACCGAAAGAAAATCACCATATGTAAGGGATAAGGGTATATTGTAAAAATAAAAAGCCCTTGAGTATCGAATCAACTGAGAGAAAATCCCCATATGTGGGGAATAAGGGTATATTGCTGCATCAGTAAGGGAAGCTGGGGCTTTAAAAGTTGAAGTCAGCACGTTTAAATGTATAACCTTTGTGTTTTTCTTGTAGAATATCTCTTTCATGCTCACTGGGATATCGTTTCGACATTTGAATGGAAATAAATGTTGTTAATTAATCATATGCCATCAATATAATTATCTAAATGTGTAATTGAAAGCCACATTCATATGTTGTCTTATAATGTGTGCGATTTTTAATAAATTCTGCTTCATATGAATAAAAAATAATGAAATAAGTTGTGCTAATGATAAAATTGGTATGCCATCAATATATGAATTTAAATGTGTTTGAAAGCGTTGGTCGTGATTAGTAAACTTTCAGTTTACTGGTTAAGATGTGAGTTGTGGAGCGATTTTTAATGAAAGTTCTGCAATTCAAATTTATAATCTTAAAAATATACCAATATCTGGTAAAACTACTATTAAGGCAGTGATTGTATGGACAGTGAATCTACTAGTTTTCTTCGTGACATTAACTAGTTATCTTTTTTTACAGTGTATTTCCGAAAACACATAAATATTGTCGGTTAGAAACACTGTAACGTCTTTTTAATAACAACTTCACAGGAATTGTGTGAAGAATGTTAACGATGTTTACTAAGTTATTTTTTAAATGACCATTTATAAGGATTTACGAGTACTATTTTTATTGAAAAAGCAGCTGTCATCAATGAAGACAAACAGCCTCGACTTTGCTTTATCGTGGCGTGGGGAATGTATGTATTTAAGTATCATTGGGGGGGGGGGAGCACAGGGATCCTACAATTTATACTTACATTTCAGAGGTTCCAGATGAATAATAGTAATAGCTGTAGGAATCGTAGTAGTAACTGTAACTGGATCGATAAGATCTGTAGGAGCGATAGGCTGCACTACAACCTAGTAAAGTAAACATCAGGTCAGTGATTTTAGAAATTGTAGTAAATGAAGAATGAATAGAACCTGTAGGAGTGAAAAGACTGCACTACAACCCAGTAAAGTAAACATAAGCACAGGACAGTTATTATAGAAATTGTAGAAAATGAAGAATAAATCAAACTGTAGGAGGAAAAAGGCTTCGTTAAAACTAAACTAAGTACAAGTAATAACAAGCTAATTCATAGAATTTGTGTCCCCCGCTTAGGGAAAAAGTAAACCATACGCAGTTCGGGGGTCGGGGTGGGTTCGTATCCCCTTGACCGAATTTGTAGAATTATTAAATGTATATTGAAGCAAATAAAATATGCCAATGTGGATATAAAGGTTTGATTGATTATTCTTTATTATGTGTGTAGAAGATTCTTTTTATATGGAATATTTATCACACTGTAATGATGATTTTATGAGTTTGTACAAGCCAGATCTCATAAATTTTTCATTTCACATACTGAATACTATCATTTAGTAAAACAAAAGTATTTCGAAAAAAAAAATTGGATTTTCCGGGATGCGAACCCTGGCCCTCTCACATGTGAAGCGATAGACATACCACTAGACCACGGAGCCGCTTTAACATGGTGAAAATTATATACAAACATTAAGTTACATACATGTATATATTCACGTTCGATATATTGTCAAAATTTTACACAATGCATGGTGTCTAATTTAACCTTTATTAAACAGTTCTAACAGATGTAATAAGAATATAAAGTCCGCCGAGAACCTGTTTTATACGTAATAACCCTGTGCTAAAAATAGCGACATGTAATACAATAAATACTAATAAAACAAACGGGGCGGGACATTTTGAGAGGGGTGAGAGAGGTCCTAGGGACTTTTGGTATAAAATTACATTGCAAAAGCTCAAAATCCTCTTGAAATATCGCCCGAAAACGATAGTGTTACACACAAACAGAATGTATACATTTATGACCCTGAAGTTTGACCTTTTGACTTCAAAAGTCTCCTATATTAAAAAATGCTGAGCATATATTCTACACAATCTTTTATCAAAAATTGTTTTGAAAGAAGTGTTCAACACCATATATAGACATTAAAATATAGCACACAATTCCTTCAAGAATTGGAATTCTTCAACTCGATGGGAAAGGACAAAAAAGTTCAAACTACGTTGCATATATATGTCCTTAAACTACTGAAATGAAACCTTCTTTTATCTAGACCATTAAATACTTCATTTTGGACAATACTAGTTCCTAGAATTCACTATTAACTACAAGAGAAATATCCCCCGGTAATAAATAAGAGCTATAGACAGCATAATAACCAAGTAAATTAAAATTATTGGAAGAGATAGCTAGAGTGAATGCTAAAGACAGGAATTTTATAAGTTAATGAAACCGACAGTAAATCAGTGACAGAGAAATAATCATAACTGAAGGAGAATTTAGTCCTAAAGTATAAGGTTCATATAGGATCATAACGAGGTAAATTAAACCTAATATATATTGTAAATTTTGTATCCCTTGAATGAGAAATAGTTATGGATCTTATCAATAGGACTGTACCTTCTACGAAAACTACACAATATCATAAATAAGGTTATATTTGTCCCCCGCTTGAAAAGTGGGGGATATTAATTTGGGTCTGTCCGTCCGTCTGTCCGTCTTTCTGTCTGTCTGTAACGCTTTCGTTTCTACATGATATCTCGAGAACCATTTGAGCTTTCGAATTGAAATTTTGCATAGCAACTCTCTATGGACAAAAAAAGAACCCTATTGATTTTGAGGTCAAAAGGTCAAGGTCATAAATTTGCATATTCTGTCTGTTATAACATTTTCGTTTCCGCGCGATATCTCGAGAACCCTTTGAGCGTTTGCAATGAAATTTTACATAACAACTCCCTGTGGCCTAAGAAAGACCCCTGTTGATTTTGAGGTCAAAAGATCAAATTTCAAGAAAATTTTGAGCTTTTGCAATGTACATATAATTTTATACCAAAACTACCTTGGACCTCTCTCAACCCTCTCAAAGTGTCCCACAGGGGCATGAGGGGAGTTATTACGCATAAAACAGGTTCTCAGCGGACTTTATATTCTTATTACAACTATTAGAACTGTTTAATAAAGGCTAAATTAGACATCATGCATTGTGAAAATTTTTGACAATATACATGTATGTGACTTCATGTTTGCATGTAATTGTCGCTGATCGTAAGCGTTCCTTGGTCTAGTGGTATGTCTCTCGCTTCACCTGTGAGAGGTCCCGGGTTCGAATATCGGATGGTTCACTTTCTTTTTTTCTGAAATACTTTTTTTCTACTAAATGATAGTTTTCAGCATGTAAAATGAAAAATTTATGAGGTCTGGCTTTCACAAACTCATAAAATCATCATTACATTGTGATAAATATTCCATATATAAGAATCTTCTATACACATAATAAAGAATAAGCAATCAAATCTTTATATCCATATTGGCATATTTTATTTGCTTCAGTATACATTTAATAATTCTACAAATTCAGTCAGGGGGATCCGACCCCGCCCCCCCCGACCCCCGAACTGCGCATGGTTTACTTTTTCCCTAAGCGGGGGACACAAATTCTCTGAATTAACTTGTATTACATGTATCTTATCAATGAAGACATCTTTAAAATTAAAACTTTATTTCCACTCTACTGAAAATAAAATATTCCAAATATTAATGCATTGTCATAATACATGTACAATGAGACTGATAAGACGGATTAAATAAACTATGATTATGTACTAAGTAAACAACGTATAAGTATTCATAAGATCCTAGAGATGGTGATTCATGTACAAGTGGTTTCCTGGAAGGAGCACTCTCAATGGGTATACCCTGTCGGTTTGAAAAAAAAAACCAATAACTAAATAGAAATCAGGCATTTCAGTATTTTACAAAAACGTAACAAATGTTTTACTAAATATATTGAAAAATTAATGGCGCATTTTCTATGTACGGCTTCAAGTGATCTTCGTACATGTACATATGTATATTTAAAAAAAAAATGCAAACTGGAAGGAGTTGGGATAAAAAAAAAACTGTAACACACCCTTTATTGAAATAAACTTCAAAGTCATGTTTCTTTTGTATGGAAATCTTTTCAAATGTCTCTAAGACCCAACTTCACGATTTTTATGATTTTTTTTTTCAATTAAATAATGGAATTATATCAATTTTAAAAATTAAATGTACTAGTATGATTAAAATTATTAAATAAGAATGAATCAGTATTGAAATTAAGTAACCTAGACTTTGTCACTGGTTCGGTTTTTTTCTTCCATTAAATTTTCAGTTAAAACCAATGCTTTTGTTTTTTGTCTTCCTTTATCAGAGGGAAAATAGTCACATTTCAATCCAGCATCACTTACCTTGTAAAAAGGATAGATATCCCAAACAGAGGACTGTGAATATAAACCCCTTCATCCGTATTTGTAGACACACCATCTTAATTAACAATCAAATTAAAACAATTATCAGACAGTTTACAATCTGATTGATTTAAGGTTCATATACCATTGAACATTTACGTGTGATGATATATAGGATGTTATTATTTTATAACAACAGCAACAACGTAAACTGATGCCCTCCGTCATAAATTTGATATTACTCATTTTTAAATTTGTATATAGATGTACATGCATAGAAATTAATCACCAACCATTTTAAAATTTTTAAAATTGTTACAATATCTAAAGGGGGCCTACTGTGGTTTTCATTGTGCAATATTTCGCGCATCAAAGTAAAATAAAGCGTATTTATTGTTTTAAAGCAACTTTTTTCGCTTAAATAATGAAATTTAACAAAATTAAGAAATTAAAGGTTTAAAATTGTAATTAAAATTTAATATAACTGATTTTTAACGATTTTGCAGTTTATAGGTAGGTTGACGTCGTTACAGTGTGTTTTTGACGTTCTGATAAACTTAAGCTCAAGGAAGGGGTAATAAAAATGTTATTAAAGAAAAAGTAATAAATATACGCAGATGAAATTTAAATCATAGAAATTTGAGAATATCTCCATTTTTTTATTATGTTTTATACAAATCCTTTGTACCCGTCATATTTTGTAATGCTCTGTACTCCATAAAAACAAGAAAATTCGTTAATTTTTTATATTTTTGAGATGCCCCCCTCTGGTAACAAGACGGTAGAATTTTGTGTTCCTTACATATAATGTACAATATAGTATTATTCATCAAACATTGTACTTTGAACAAAAAGTTCAGTGTAGTATTTGTATAATTTGCTTTAAATTGCAATTTCATGTATAATCCTATAGTAAATGTACCTGTATTTTAAGACGGTTCCTTAAAATACCTGGACGGTAGATTTCCGCCAAACCTATCATGTATACTGAAGTTTATGTAAGTTATATATGGCATAAAAATGAAGAGTTTCGTTATTGTAGTTTTCACACAATAAAACCTCAGTCGCCCCCTCTTAAAGTTTTGTGGGTCATATTGTTAATATCAATATTTGAGAAGAACAAGATTCACAAAACCTAAGAAGGTGCATGACATGAAAATAGTTCTCTCCGTCAGATACTCTCATTTGGTATTGCATGACCAAATTAACTTTGAAATATGTGAACATATTGACTTTAAAGGTCTAGTGACATGTACTTCAAAATTATTTTTTGTATTTTTTCGTAAAAATTGTCAAAATTTTGTCATACTTGTCATTCTCTAATATATTCTATAACCTTTTAAAATCAAAAACCAGTTAAGGCTACTTTGTCTTATTAAAATTTAGGAAAAGTCTTTTAAAAATACCTTTTAAAAAAAGAACAACCAAGCCATGTTACATTAAATTTGCATGAGAGTATATTAATAACAAGGATGGAAGAACAGTAAAGCCATAAGAATTCATATTTAATTTGTTTGGGTCAAATACATGTACAGCAAATCCACGCTCGGGTCATATCTACATGCTAATAGAAGTCATCTCAGGTAGTTAAGATTCAATTTTGTTCAAATCATGATCCCCCACGGAAGATGGGTCTAAAATATACAAACGTTTTCCTTAAACAGAGGAATATGTCCAATTTAACCTTACAGATTGTGAGCAAAGCAAACAGATGCGACGTAATAGTAAGACGTCGCTTACGGTATTGGTGATACTTAACGTTACGCTTATAGCGTCACAAATACGTAAAATGATGCTCAAATGCAATGTTATGTTTTTAAAATGTAACCTTTTGATTAACTTTTATTCTTCCACCAAACATTCCTGTTTGACCATTACACGTATTTATTACATACTTTAAATAGTAATAAATACAGGATTTTTGCATATGCGATATGGCTGACGTCACAATAGCCGTATCAGCCCTGCAGGACTGATATGGATTTGCAGGGCTGATACGGATCAATATCACACCCCTAGTAAATTGAACCTCAAAAAACAGTACTTGTGATCATACACATATTTTTGGGGTTACATAATTCTCTTGATTTTAACTTTTTAAATGTAATGATAATCTAACTGATAAATAATAGATTATTTTTAAATTACGGATTGAGGACATCTGAAATAGAAGTACATGCAGAAACAAGCCGAAACTGTATGAGACAATAGACCGTGTACATTTTAAGATAAGATATCGGAAGTTTTCTTTGACCAACATTTGTTTTCTTTTAATTCTGCGGTCGATACAATGACCTTTTTTCAAATACAATTATATATCTTTAGTTCTATTGTTAGCTGACATCTCTCATGCAAATTTATAGGCAATTTGTTAACACTGTATGGAGTAAGGATTTTCGTTCACCTGGTCATGGCAGGATGATCAATTTACCATTTCACCAGACCTTAATATCTCCGTTTATGGATGTCCATGTTTGCTTTGTTCATGATTTGCATCAATTAATTGGACATCTAAGATTATTGTTCTCTTTATATTTCATGCATCTGATAACTGTGTATTAATATTGTTAAATAAGTAAGGAAAAATTACATAAATCGTGTCAATGAGCTAGTTCAGTAAACTAATTTCTAAAATCAACTTGTATGTAGAATCTGACTGACTATTACCAATAACAAATCTCCATACCGACGAGATCGTCAGACTGATTTAAAATTTGCGTTGCTGCAGCACAACCCAGGCATCACTGGCATGGATTGGAATAATTCAGTCTTTATCTTGCTTTTGCAGGACATGGAGAGGACAGGCATCATTTTCTCCATACACACAAACAAGTGGACGAGAACTGTAAAATGATTGGTTGAATTATATTTGACTTTGCAAGATGCTAACTTGTTACTGATAAAATACATCACTCCTGTAATACTAATTTGTGTAAAAACATGATTAGATCCCTTTCTAGCAATACCACAATAGTTTTGCCAATATAATTATAAACAAGGGCACTTACAAAGAACATATCTATAAATCAAAACATCATTCGACATCGACCCTAATGCAAATTAAAAATTAAGTCACTTCCGTTTCGCACAGAATAAACTCACTCACCCACCCACAAACACACACGATTGTGTTACTACCGGTATATCCCCTCCCAACTAAGGCAATTTTATGAATATGTCCCCTCAATAAATTACGCAAGATTCCTCTCCTCTTCTATGGGTTGACAAGCAATCATTGCATGATAGTACCCCAATAAAAAACTGGGAATCATTATGGATGCCCTTCCCACTCCCCCAAAAATGAAAGTGCTTTTTTTGTGGAATTGAGTCAAATCTAGTTGGCTTGATAATATTTTTGTCAATCACAAAAAAGAAAAAAACAATCGAATAACAAACAGTAGGCATGAACTTGCATCTCATCATTGCCACGTGAAATATCGATTTGGAGCTGAGTAATCGGTCTTTACCAGCGCAACTATGTACGGTTATAAACTGGTCATACGTGAACTTTGTGAAGTTTAGCAGTTGCTACCATATGTGAAAATATTGCGAAGATTGATAAGATAATAAAGCCAAAGGAGAATTTTATTTTTGTACAGGTAAGCATTTATTACTTTTTTAGTTTATCATATAACGAGGGGCATATTTATTGCAATAACTGATAATATACGTACAATATAAGCTATTGAGAATTTTATACACTTTTTATAACGGAAATAGAATCATTCTTTTAGAAAAGAACTTTAAATTATAAATACATCATATACGAATGTCTGGGTCCAGAGCGTAGAGATACAGTGTACCTCGGGGTAATGATTTGCTGGTTCAGCTCGGATGAATAAAACCCATAGTGACCCATACCTTATTCTAAATGTAACCTTCGATGTAAAGCTTTTATGGGATATGAATGAGAAAATTATCTCGAATGTATTTCAGTGTGACTTTTAATGGCAACTGTTTAGTCTACAATAAAGTCACATAAGTTTTGGACAATTATTGATGTTTATAAGTAGATATTCAAAGGGCAAAAGACATAATTATACGTACATTTGGTGCAGTAATAATCTTAAAATAGACAAATAAAGGTACGTTAATATAGTGTAGCAAAGTGCATCAATCTTGATAAAAAGATAAACATAATCATTGACGCAGAACATGTACAAAAGGTAAGTGTAGTTTTTACTTTCCTTTTTAAAAAGTTATGTATTACATGTACATTCAGTTATGCATTTATAAAGAAATTAAGAAAGATAAAACTCACATTTAATTTTAAACAATATCTTTTCAAATCTTAAATGGCAAGATATTTCACAATAATAAATATTTTGCAATAAATTAAATACCTTTGAAATAGATTGTAAATCAATGATAAGTTTATAACCAAAACATGAATTAATTTTTTTGTGTGTAGGCGAACTTTTCGACCGTTGCAAAATACCAGACAAATAAATACAAGAGCTTAGATTGCAAAACCCGAAGAAAACAGGTGATTTAATTTCAAAATATTTTTGTCAGTATTCGTAAGCTTATTTTTTTTTTAATTTAGAAATTGTACGTATATAAACAATTAACAATGTTATAGTCATTTATATATGAGGTGGAGAGAGGAGACTTTACAAGAAAGTACAGAAGAGTAATTGCAAGTTGTTGATGGATTTGGAGAACCGGGACAGCTCATTTACTAGGAACTGAGGTAAGTTTTCTTAAAATGATGTTTTGCTTATAGATATCTAAATCCTCCGAGATTCACCAAAATTTTATTTATATGTTTAAGTCTTCATAAATACAACATTCCTGCAATTGAAATGAGCTTTCTCAAAATAAAGTCAACGGCTTGTTTTTTCATAGATATAACGCATAGTACATTTTTGCTGTAAATGAATTATTTCGGCGGGTGTGGTCGGTCGGCAGGGAATACTCACTTCTCCATGGCACTTGATCCCACCTCTGATTTTTTTTAGGTCTGTGTTTGCTCTGCTCCAATTCTGTATAGTTCAAAGGACTTTTGAGCTTGAATACTGTTCGCTATCTTCATTATATATTTCATTCATTGAAGAAAGTTTTATTCCTTTTTTATAACCTATATTTTAAATGCATTTAATGTACTTTACATGAGAAGGATGGGTTTTTAATATTCGTATTAGGGTTGACAATGTTTATTAAATTGTTGAAAGGGCTTAGACAAACAGTGTCATTGATAAACCAAACAAAATTGCCTTTCATTTAAGTAAAACAGCTTTGAGGTATTTTTTTTTGTGTGTTAAGATATCTACGCTTACAAATCTGGTTTACGTCGCAGTTAAAGATATACGCACCTGAAAGTATAGAAACGTCAATTTTCATAAAGTATATATATGTTTAAATCTATTACCTTTTAAAAGATAAAGAATTAAAACATTTTAGAAAAATAAGGGTGACACAGTTCAACTTGACCTTTTTTGCACTAAAAAGAAATTTGAAATATTGATATTAAATACATGTACTACTGTTTCAAAAATTTTATAAGAATTAAAAGATCTTTTATGTAAATATATACTCAGACAGAATTAACCATGATGAATAGTTTTGGCCAGGAAAAATATTTCTTGAAGTATAAAATATAAAGCTTAACATTTTGCACTCAGAAATAAGAAAATTTGACGTGAATAAAGAATATTGCTAAAATTCATTCTAGAGTGATGTTTCCCCTTAAGACAAAAATTTACAAATATCATTGCAATACCCTATTAAAAAAAACAAAACAAAACATGGGGCCACATTCTACTTTTAATAATAGGCAAATGTTTGCTATTGATCACTGGGGATTAAGTTAAGTTAGGTTTAACGTCCGCATTTTTTCAACAGATGTTGTGAAAATAATGTATATCTAACAAGGAAAATCTATGATCTTGCAATCGACATTATAAAAGCAAGTGTGGTATTATAATACATATTTATTTGTTTATTTATTCGGTACTTTATATAAAACTTAATAGTATAATTTTAAGGTGTCATTAAATCCTCGAAAATGGAGATGCTTACTCATTGATTCAACCTTGTGTCTTTGATGCAGATGTTTAACGGATGAATACCGTATTTTGAGATTCAATATCAAATTAAAATAATAAGATTGAACTCGGAGAAAATTTGCAATGTTTGACAATTAATACTAAAGATCTTTACTTCTACTTTTTCAGTCTAAGAAGAAACAATGGAGAAATGTATAGAGAATTTAAAGGAAAGAATGAAAGATGTGGCCCCAATAGAGATGGAGATGCCAGGATTTGAATTTATTCCGACCTTATGATAATTTTTCAAGCTTAATTTAAGATTATAGTGTCATCAAATGTTCATGGACAAAAAATCAAGCAAAATACAATGAATTTATTTCTATATTCTAATTTCTTTTTTATCCGAAATTGTTTTTGAATAAGTGAACAATATCATACGTAGATATTAAAATATAACACACAGTTCCTTCACATGTTAACTGTGTGTAAATAATGGTGTGTAAATAATGGTAGACTTCACCATATGTCTCTAAACTACAATGGTATTCAAATGTACATGTCCAATGTATTAAGGGTTTATTGTAAAATAGGAGCAATCAACCATAATAAGCTGTCAATGTGGGCACACGGCCATGCATATTGTCCGCATCAGAAAGTATTGCTAAGTAAAACTCTACCAGCAATGACAATTTTATCAATTGCTAACGATGCATCATTTGTTTTTCTCCCATTGAAGCACAACTTTTATAATTAGTCAATTTGAAAGATTGCCGACACTAAAACGTTTCATCGATCTAACAAACTAGATGAACTGTTTATTCCATTGTCTTTATCATGCAAGAAATAAAGGCGGGGAGACAGGTTCTTCAAATATCAACTTTCATAATTAGCCTTTGATATTATAAGTAAACAGGTCCAGAGAAGCGAGATGATATTGTTTGTGATAATGTTAATCTATTTCAATGTATTTCTCTAAGAGAGAAATTTCTAGATGCAAACACATTGAGTAAATGTTAGAATAAGGAGTCTTTTTAGTTGATATCCAAAGATAACGCAGTGCGGGTTTCAGAAGGGGTTGCTTGAAAAAATTACTAGTATATTCCTGAACACTACATTATGTCTTCATTATTCCAGTCCAAAATATGCTAATCTAAGCATTTTGTTCCACTCTGTTCTTTGCGCTTTTGTTGATGATCATAATTTGTGGTATCCCTTCTTTTAAGTGTTGTCAGATATCTTAAGTCACGTGACTGGAATATTGATGAGGCTGAGAAGTTACTTCGGAATACAATAGAATACAGGAGGCGGCTTAACCTTATAGACATTGACTGCAGGTGGTGCCATGAGAGACCAGGGTACCATACAATGGTAAGTGGCCTTCTGTTCATGACACATATTGTGAAACATGAACATACGTACGTATGTTATAGAAAGCTCATTAGATCTTCCTCGATTTGTGTTCCATCATATCAAATCTTTTAAAATTTATCCATTCGAGTTTTTTTTTTACTTTTGAGACACTTTAAACTTATCTTTTAAGGTTAAAATATGAAACCCTCGAAATTTTTTTTTCTCGAACATTACAGCACTAATTTAGAAGTTCATCTAAAATTTCGACCTTCGTATTTCAGCGTCAAGTTGGATTTGATGAGAGTGGGCGACCAGTGATTTATTCTAACTTCAGACAGGCGGCTACACATAGATACAGTGCCGAGGACTCAGTAACCCACGTGTCTTATATCATAGAAAATGCCAAACTTACCATGAAACCCGGAATCAGTACATGGGTGTTTGTGGTTGACTGCTCAGGTATATGTGCAAAGGTTTATGCATCGAATATTTTTGTCTACAGATCTGTTCGTTAATTATATTTTCTTCTGAATATGCGTTAAGTCTCATTTTTAAGATATTGTCCAATCCTACATAACTAATTATTTCAAGTCACAAGATCAACGAAAATCACTGCTCAATGATTATCAACTTTTGCAGGTATGACACTTCCACTATGCAATCCCAAACTTGGCTATGGAGTGACACAGACACTGGCGGATCATTACCCAGAACGGTTAGGAATGGTCATTTGTTTGAATCACAACGCAGTCTTTCATGCCGTTTGGAAAGCCATAAAAGTATTTTTACAAGCAAACACAGCTTCAAAAGTAAAACTTGTTCGGCCAATGTCCAAAGTGAAAGAAACATTCCAAGAATATTTTTCAGACGAATTAACAAATTGGTTGCTGGAAGAAATTAAACTGAATAAAAAGCCCCCACTTTGTGAAAGTCAGAAACAGTTTTGGGCATGTCCAGAGAAGGAAGGGTCACATGATCCACGTGGATGCCCATCTTATGTGTCCAAGTATGTGGAAAAATACTTCGAGAAGAAAGAACTTTCTAAACAGCGGGTACATAAGCCTTTCCCGCCCATTATTGACAGTTTGGCAGGAAAACTTTGTGACGTCACACCATGCTCTCCAATCGAAGACGTATCTTCCAGTGACGTCAGCAGAACAAGTAGTGATGAAGGAGAGTTTGACTTAGACAAAGTGGATGAAATAGAGATTCCAGATAAGTTTATAATTGAAAGTAGTGCTTCAAAGCAGAGTTCCGTATCTTGAATAATGCTGGAACTTTTTAACAACTAGGAATTAAATAAAATTAATGTTATCCTTCAATGCAAGTACTTTTTATTTGTTGTTTATTAAAAATAATTTGTTGAATGTTGATTATATTACAAGCATTGGATTAAATATTTGTTACGCTATTTGTTCCCTTTTTGTGAAATATCAATCAATCATCCCCATTCATAGGATCGAATAAATTTAGTACCAAGTTTGTTTTTAATACTATAAGCTTTGTCCATCTTTACTCGCCACTAAATTGTATTATATCTGATACGTAAACGCCGAGAACAAAGACGTATTGTAGAATAAAATACGTTGAAGGTATGCAATTGTGGAAAGCTCAGATATGTACTATTTGTAGATTTGGCAAGTTCCTGGAACTATAGCAGTTTTAAACAAAAATCTCTTCGATCCATATTTGTACGAGAATTTCTTCAAAACAGGAGTAAAAAAGAACTTAACATAAAAAAGACCCTGAATATTGTTTTTCAATTTAATGACGGAACATATATATACCTAGTATCCCCTTTATAGAATTATAAGCATTTGCGAAATAAATGGATATACTCAAGCTCAAAAGTCCATTAAACAATACAAAAAAGCAAAGCAAACACGAAGCTCTAAAACATCAGAGGTAGGATCAGATGCCATGGAGTAGTGAGGATCCCCTGCCAACCGGCCACACCCGCTGTGTGCATAGTCCTTAACGTGATCGGGAAATACATGTAACGGAAAAATCCGTCGACAAGTGTGTAAATAATGGCCTAACATTTAGTATGAAAAACGTCAGTCAGCATTTGATATAATTATAGATTGTATTTACTGACATGGTAATTCTACATGTTTATCGACCATAGAACGACCATAAATGATGACTTTAAACGAAATAACTGACTTTTTCATCAATTTGTTTGTCAATAACTTGCCTTGTTTTAGAAATGTTTCTTCGAATGATAAACCCCGTCAGGTGATAAAAGTATTTCATCATAAAACAGTTAAAGTTATCAAGTTTATCATAAAGACTTGTTGTTAGAGTACCAATAACGTCTTTTTGTAGTGAAATATCAAAATATGAAAGATTCTGTGGTATCTGTTATTTTAAGCTCACCGGGATATATCTTATCGACACAAAAAAGGAGATGAACATTGTTTTAATTGACAAAACGTCATTGATATATCTAAATGTCAAGTTGAAGGCAACAACAAGGTTTTCTTCTTTACATGTGTAGGATTTTGAGCAAAGTCTACATCATATAAATACAAAAATAGGTCTGCTAATAACGGGGCGCAATCTGTGGGAATTTACATACATTGTTTGAAGACCTGGTCTCCAAAAAACACATCGATATTGTCAATGAGAACCTAAAGCATCCTTTAAAATATTATCAACTTCAGATCTATATAGTACTTGTTTGTTCAATCAAAATGTTTTTTAACAAAATAATTTTGCAAATGACCAATAATAAGGTAGAGTTGACTTACAAGTTCTTTAATGTTTGCATATTTTATACATCTATCAAACGTATAATACACAATACACCACTTACAAACAAAGAAGTATTGCCTCAAGTTCAAAATACAAAAAATTGTTACAAGCAATTTTTTAAAGCAAATTTGTTTAAAGAAAACACTGCAGTTTTTTTGCGTTTGAATACCTTGAAATATACTTTGAGAGGACGCAACATTTCGAAGATCCAGACATTCTCGAAGGGGGAAGGGGTAGTTCATTTGTTTTGACAAGAAATACTAGTAAAGTAGAGACAAGAAAGAATTGTCCAAACTCGAAAATCCTATTTCGTTGAAGGTGGTGGCTCTGGGTTCAGAATTTTACAATTATGTTCTTTATTTTTTGGTGATAAGGGGACTAAATTGAAAGTATTTAATTATACGTGTTAAATAAATAAATGTCAAGTTCAAAAGCAAGCAACCATAAAGGGGCTTCTATATCCGTCTTTCAGTATATATATATATATGCATTAGACTACATGTAATTAACTTTCTTTCGTAATTGCCACTTATATATAGGTATATAAACAATCATAACTTTAATTGCAGCACATATAATTTTAAATGACCTATTTTGTAGGCAGTTCCGTCAATATTATTGTAAGATAGCGTTTAAAACGAAAGTAGGAAACGATACACGTAAAACCACCAACTAAAAGGTACAGTATTTAAGGTTTAAAGTCACATAATCGTGAATTTTTAAAATTCCATCGCTGTGCATTTATATTACCCATGTATGTATACTATATATTTAAGTGACAAATTGAAATTAATCAAAAGTATATCGCTTTCTTCACATCCTAACTTATAACAACAATTATTCTAATAAAACTATTTTGACATCTAGATTTATTTTTTGAAATGGAAAATTGTTTTCTTGTCGCTGCAATCGACTTTGGAACTACATACTCTGGCTATGCCTTCGGAATGGTTCGTGAATTGGAGGAGGATCCGATGAAGATTCACGCAAATCAGGCCTGGGTCTCCGGACAACAAAATCTGTTGTCCCTAAAGACCCCAACATGTCTACTGCTGGATAAAAATAAGAAATTCAAGTCGTTTGGATATGAGGCAGAGAACCAGTACAACAACATAACTATGGACGAAGAGACCGAGGATTATTATTACTTTTACAGATTCAAAATGAATCTACATGAGAGTGAGGTATGTAAATGTGTGCAAGTGGCCATCAGTCTTGAGTTCCATAATTAATATATGCAGCAGTAAAAAACAAAATTATCTTTGTATATCATTTCTTTAGTCCGATGGCATTCTTCATGCAAATCACAGTTTAATTTTTTCAGTATTTCTCTATCTGATTCCATTTCAGGAGTCATTAGAAAACTTACATATTAAAGACGCCAGTGGAAAGGAGCTCCCTGCAATGACAGTCTTTTCTCTTTCCATCAAAGCCCTTAAAGACCATTTAATTGATCTTCTAGATACAAGAGGTACAACTCTGAAGGCGGACGAAGTTCTGTGGGTACTAACAGTACCTGCAATCTGGACAGATTCTGCCAAGATTTTCATGAGGAAAGCAGCCAAAAAGGTATACCTTGAATCAGTAATCAATACTGATAAAGAAAATAATCTAAAAGAGATCTTATTATGATGCCATTATGAACATAATGTAATTAATACGCTCTGGTTATTTCATCTTCTTCTAAGGCGGGAATAAAAGATGAGTGTTTGAAGCTCGCTTTGGAGCCTGAGGCAGCATCAATTTACTGTCAACACATCCATGTGGATCGTTCCAAAGGACAGCGAGGTTTTGGTGTATCCGCTGTGGGTACAAGATATATGGTCATAGATCTGGGGGGTAGGCTGATTTATTAATGCGCGTGAAGTATAAGCTATACTACTGATAGAGATGTAATTCTCCATATAAAATGTTGACTTTAATGAATTTAAGAGGGGTATGTTAAAGAAGAGGTGAACATTAATTCTACTGGTCAAGAATATTTGTGCTAGTGGTTAAATACCCATAATCAAAGCAAATATCACACCAAGTTTTCCCTTTTGCATGTTTTGACAACTGTTCCCTACAAAAATTCGCCACTGCAAAAATTAACCAAGTCGGATAAATTTCAAAACCTTTCTAATTATATATTTATACTCATAGGAGGAACTGCCGACATCACGTGTCATGAGAAGTTGGATGATGATTTTCTGAAGGAGCTGTATAAAGCGAGTGGAGGGGCGTGTGGGGGTACGGCAATGGACGCTAAAGTTCTTGGCGTGATCAAGGAAATTGTGGGAGACTCGGTCTTCGATGAATTCAAGAGGGTCCACGTAGAGGGATATATGGACCTACTACGGGAAATTGAAGTCTTCAAACGAAATATTAAACCTGAAAGTGACGGAAAAATTACTATGACCATACCATATGTTTCCCTCCAAGAAATTTGCTCCGACAAATTAAATAAAAGTTTTAAAGAATTGCTTGCAAGTTCTTCTGTGTCTCATGATGTTTCTCTAACAGGGCAGAAGTTTCGCTTCAGTGCAGGTTTTGCAAAACAGCTTTTTACATCTATTACTGATCAGATTGTGGAGTATATAAGGCTCATTTTAATGCAACCAGAAGTACAAAAGATAAATAGATTTTTACTGGTCGGAGGTTTCGCAGAGAGTCCAATGGTGCAACATGCCATTAAAGAGAACTTTCCTGATAAACGTCTCATAATTCCTCAAGAGGCTGGCTTAGCCGTGCTGAAAGGTGCTGTTTTGTTTGGTCATCGGCCAAAGACGATCAAAAGCAGGGTGATCAAGTATTCTTATGGTGTAAAAACCACACCAGTATTTGATCCAATGGTTCATGACCCTAAACGAAGATGTATTATTAACGGAGTTGATCGATGCCAGAATGTTTTCGGATGTTTCATGAAATCGGGCACAGCTGTTGAATTGGAACACGAAGTAGAAAAGAAGTACCAAACCAATCAAGCATTTCAGCAAACAGTTCCGCTTGAATTGTTTTTCTTAATAAAAGAGGATGCAAAATATATTGACGAACCCTGTGTGCAAAAACTTTGGAAAATGGATATAAACATTCCTCATCCATGTGAAAATCCTCGAAAGGTTAAAGTGCTGTATATTTTTGGTGACACTGAATTAAGAGTGACTGCTGTAGAAATGGATACCGGGACACCATGTGAAGCCACAATTGGTGGAATATGTTAAACTGATTGTGTGATATTTCAAAGTCATTAACTAATATAAAATTATCATCAAAATTTTACATTCTTCACTGCAAACATAGAATTCGAGACCAATATAAGATTCTGTCCAAATTTGTTGAGGAAATTATAAATTATCTGGATACACTGTAGTACAAACATTGTAACAGGAGTTTTTCTTTTGAAATGCATTGAACAAAAGAATTTTTCATGGACAAGTCAATGAATTTCAGAAAAAAAATTACTTTAAAGCTCAGTAAAGGGTGGAACAATAGAAGCTAGATTTACAACATATACTAGTATCATAGATCTTAGTTTGATGACAGAGATTATATTTCTTTGTAACAATGTATACAGGGTAACAAAGCAAAAGACATACACTAGATGTCATATTTGGTGAAAATAATAGACAAATTATGAATAAAGGTTTATAAGACTTGTGTATTTGATGTTTCAATTCCCAGTGATGCCTCCATATAGCATATTATTGCGAAATTACAGTAACTGTTAATAAAATTTTCTCAAATTCAAGCCATACATCAATGTCGAAACATCAAACATGTTGTTACCCAAAGAAAGGACTTGTTTCAATGAATATACTTTTGAAATTCACATGAATTACACCTGTGAAATATGAAGGTCATAGAGTACTAACTGTTCAAAAGTTAAGGCAACAGTTAAAATTTTTTTTAAAAAGTCAAACTTTAATGTCAAGATCATGAAATATTTATCAGTAGAAAAGTCTTGTTGCAATGAATACAGTGTGAAATAAGAAAGACCTAGCACCAATTGTTCAAAAGTAATGGGTCATGGTTAAATTTTAGAAATATTTGGCAAACGTGAATTAAACTCCATGGTCAAGGGATAAAAAGTCTAATATGTAGTTATCAAAAGAAGATCTTCTCATAAAGAATATACTAAGTACTTGTGAAATATATAATTCATAGCTCCAACCAATCAAAAGTTACATTCAAAGTTAAATTTTTTTGTATAGACAAACAGAGAGATAGATGGACTGACAATCAGGGCAAGAACTACACACCCCCAGAAACTTTGATTATTGTGGCATAAAAACAACAAAAAGAGAGAACATTATAGGATTTATGTAATCCTTTAATAAAATATTTTGTATCATTACAAATTAGTGTTTGGACAAATTTTGACGCTGGGCTTTGAATTTTGATACCCTTACTGGCCTCTGAATTTCCTCTGACTGAGCAGCAATGTGTGGTCTGCTTTCAGAAGATGTCTGCTCTTTTGCGACTGTTGGCATAGGTTCTGGAACTTTCTTCTCCACAACAACACCAGAAAATGCCTGAAGAGACAATTATTAATTAAAATCATCATCACTGATTAAATGTTAAAAAATAATTAAGTATTCCTTAAAAGGGTAACTATCCATTTTTTTTTTTTTTTTTGCATATAAATACTGGTACACTACCTCTACCAAAAAGGCAATGCTAAGGTAATGTCTGAAGTTCTTTGACTCGAACACATCAATAACTTTCTAAACAGTGGATTGCAACAACACAAATGATGTGATCTAGCAAAAAATCAGACTAATCAAACTCACTGTTGGCAATGAAGAGGATGGACCCATTAATGGAGCTCTCTGTCTGTCAGATTTTTTCTTGACATTCACTCTCTTTACATTGCTACTACTGTTTTTAAGAATGGACTTAGGGTCTGGCTTGTAGAGTCTGTAAATGTCCCGAGGACTTCTCACTTCACAAGTATCTTCCTCTGAGTTTGCTTCCTTAGTTTAAAATGAAAAGAAAGATTTGTAAATGGGTTTGTCTGGAATTTCTATCTACACGTGATTTAATATTGAATTTGGTGTGGGAAAATTTTTGAGATTTTTCTGTTTTCTATTTTCTTCTTACTCTATCTAAAACTGATCTTCAGAAATTCAAAAAAAGCAGTCTAAATATTTATTAAACATTTTCAGCAGAAACTCACTTCTCGTTGTAGTCGATCGTCTACTTTTGCATGTGAGAAGTTGATGACCTGTGTCTTCCTCCTTCTTTGACTCTCTTCTTCTTCCTCTTCTTCTTCAGTATCACTTGAGAAATCATCACTGTCTCCAATTTCACTTTCTTCTTCAGACTCTACCATGGAAGATGACTCCTCTTCTTCTTGGAAGTGAACTTTTCTGGTTGTTTGATGTTGTGATGGTGAAGTTACTGACATGTCCTCTTGCAAAGTTTTCATAAAATCGACATCAGCTGTTTCTACTGAAATTCTGCAACAACAGAAAATACAATGTATTGTAAATGTTGCCATAGCTGTGATGGTTTGATGTCTCCATGATGTATTAATTTTTCTGATTATTTTTCATTTTCTTGATATGTTTTACAACACATTGAAATACCGGTACACAGAGTCATTTAATATCTCACTGTATACTTCTTTGAAATACATTGTACGTGTATTTAATTCTATATTTTTTAGATTTATTTCACCTTTGAAGTTCCTGGCGTTCAGATTCCTGTTTCTCTAGTTCATCCAACCTCTTCCATATTTCTTCATCTGTAAGAGTTTTCTCTTTCTCCATTGACTTTCTCTCTATTTTCTCTTTCTTTCTTTGTCTCTGTATACTTTTCCTGTGTTCCTCTTCATCAAAGTGAAAAATCAGTATATTATGTCATCACCACAGTAAATTAATGAAAATGCTCTCAATTGAAAGTTTCAGTGACCAGAAATTTAGACACAAACCTCTCCATAGCTTTTCCTTATCAGCATCATATTCTTCTGTTATTTCAAAGTAATCTTCATTCTGGTAAAGTGTATAACATAAAATCACATTTGTAATATTTATGTCCCATTATTATAGTTTTTTAATTTTAGATAGTGAACCAAACGTAAAGTAGACATGCATATTATTTTTCTTTGTTATTACTTTCATTAAAAAACACTCATTAAGGATACACCAAAGGCTTTTTTCAAAATTTTTGTCAATTTTGAGATTTTTGGCTAAGAAAACATTGCTAATCACTGCTTTATAATGCATGAAAAATGTAACTTTTGAATAAGAAGATTTATCAAAAATCTGAGATACGGTTTTAAAGTTCAATCTTTAATCTACATTGAGGCAAAATTTTGACTTTCAGAGGTGGAGTACAAAAAAGTTGATTTATAAAATATAAATGCACTAATATTTACATTAAAATATTAATAATTTTTTAATGAGATAAAAATGAAAATTTAAATTAAGATCATTAAACAGTAAATTTAACAAGCTTTCAAATGACATATACTTTTAATATGTTATCTTTGTTAATAAAAGAATTACAAGCAAATTAAATTTTGCCCTTTGGAAACCTTTGGTGTATCCTTAAAGAGTATTACTGTAGATTATACATATCCTTTAATGGGCCTAGAAAACTTTTACAACATAATAATGTCATTTCACTTCAGCAGATCATATATAACATTATTCAAATGTGTTGATTTTAAATCTACTGCCTCTTTGAAATTAACAACATGTTAAGCTTTAACTTCTTGGTGCAATTTACCGTTGATCCTCCAGGAATGTTCTTTGTAAATTCAAGTCTTGGTTCAAGGAGACGTTTCTGAGCCTGCAGATCATCAATTTGTTTTTGCACAGCTGTGAAAAAGACAATGAATTATACTCCCATTGCCATCAGAGTAACCTTCTCTCTTGTATGTTTGATTAAATACTGATAACATTTACAGATTTCTATGTTTTTATAATTGTAAAAAATCGACATGCTCTTAAAAACAAGAACTGTAAATGTGGAAAATGCCTACTCGTTATTCTTCTGCCTATGATCTCCGTTGCCTGTTTGGCAGATCTCTCAGCAAACCAGTTATCTCCTAGCAACACAAGTATCTCATTTGTATGAACCAGTTGCCCAGGCATAAAAGCCAAAGGCCCAAATGGTACCTGAAAAAAACCCACAAATCCTTTTAGACTCATATCCATCATATAACATACTTTCACCCTCTTACAATATACATTTATTTACAACCATAACAAAAACAATTTACCACTTCACTAATATATGGGAAATAACATGAATAAAGCATACACACTGTAATACAAATAATTTCTGAGGAACTTCTAAGTTCTGGAATCATATTTGCATAGACAACTTTACTTACCATGACATCGTGCTTAGTCTTATCTGGCAATGTTGTCAGTCGCTTCTTCAGTGCCTCATAGTCAGATCTGAATGTTTCCCTGTTATCGATAAAAGGATAACTCTTTTTATTGTCCGTCATCATAATTTACTCATCATAATGATACATGCGCAGGATCCAAAAATACCCCAAATTTATTCCATTCGCAATAATGATGCTTCTGAACTAAGGAATAATAATGGAAATGGGTAAAAAATAATTAGCCCAAGTACTGTACCATTGTTTAATTTTTCTATCAGTTTCAAAAAGAGCAAGTTTTTGTTCCTCTTCAAGTCTTTTAATGTGTTTAAGATCCATGCTTTTTAACCAAAGGATTCTTTGGTCGCTATATATTGTTAAACCTTTCTTTTATTTTTTAAATTTCTCAATTTTGCGTGTGACAGGCAAACAGAAAGTAAACACAGGAAACCGCGGGCGCTCACTAAATGCGGTTTGTACAGTGGGGAAAACAAAAAGACGGAAAAAAGAAATTACGATTTTATAAATGGTCAAGAAATGTAATGACCACAAAGCATTTAAAAAAAAAACTAGCTGCAGTCCCCACCCCTCCAAAAAAGTAACATAAACGCTTATTATAAGTATATACAAATCTCCTCCCCTAACTGCAAGCAAAAAGCACAGAGGCACCAAGGAAAGAAGGGGGGGGGGGTCGACTCATTGATTGGAGAACTTTTATATCATTATGAGTGCATAGATTTCATAAACTTTTATAAATGTTGCACTTTCCATTATCTTAATGGTGTAGAAATAAAGACACACTTTTACTAATGAAATAAACTCAAATCAGGCATGATTAATACTGCATTTTAAAAAAGTCATAAAAAAAAAACAAAAGTATTTCTATTTCTTCAATTTATTCTGAAATTTTATTTTAATTCAAAGTGAAAGGAAATCAAAATATGAAAGACAGAATATACTACAACATAGGGATTATCAACACTACCTAAAATATTGTGTAAATTAAGAGATATACAACCTGTACATTGTATGATTTAATGCAAACAAAGCTATTTTTATTGTGGAGCCATTCTGTTCTCGAGTTAACAGTCTGACAGAGAAATTACAGGTGTCATTTTCATGAGGACACTAGTTTTACAATATCAGATATGGCATAATATAGCCTAGCTGTCATATGATTCAGATTACTGGATCCGATCCTGTGGCAATTACTGATTTTTTCTTGATTTCTTGTCCAGCTAACTTCGCCATGTAACTTCAACTTCATCTGTTCGAAATCTGAAATGCATGAAACTCAATATAAGATATTCTCTAGTGAAAAAGTATTATCCCTATAAATATTTTATAAATAAAAACAATTAAGCAATTCATGTTTCAATGCCAATTATAGAACATATTCTTTAACCCAATGACACTATACAATACCCCCCCCCCCCCCACCCCTTTCACATCTCACACTCTCTTTACTCTGTGATTTCATTAATTTACTTTTAAAATATTAAATTGTATATAAGAATATGATACAAACAGGAATGCAGAAAAGACAAAATTATAATAAAATATGCTTTAAAAAATGAAAATAATATACATTGTACAGAGTAAATTACCTTTGTGTGCATGATGTCTCCTTGAGTGGAGTTGTCTGCCCTGAACGATACATTTCCCATCCTGCTTGGGCAATCATGGCACCATTATCAATGCAGAACCTAAATTAATATATAGAGAATAATACAAACCGTTTTCCATATCACATCCTGTATCAGACCGGGACACCAATATCAGCCAGAGGGCCAAAGGCCAGAGGGCTGATATTGGTCGAGGGCTGATACAGGATGTGATGTGGAAAAGGGTATGTTTTATTATGTTTATTACATACTTAGTAATAAAAGACAGTACACATTAAGTTGAGAAGAAAATAAACACTTAGTAATAAAATACAGTACACATTAAGTTGAGAAGAAAATAAGTAAATAATCATGCACGGACTTCTTAGTACATGTACAAGGTCTATTGTCTCATATGGTTTGGGTTTGTTTCTATATGTACTTCTATTTCAAATGAGACCGATCAGTAATTTGAAAATAATCTATTACATGTATTTTTCAATTAGATTATCCTTACATTCAAAAAGTTAAAATGAAGAGAATATGTAACCCTCAAAATATGTGTATGATCACAAGTACTGTTTTTAGAGGTTTAATTTTCTAGGGGTGTGATATTGATCCGTATCAGCCCTGCAGGGCTGATATGGCTATTGTGACATCAGACATATTGCATATGCGAAAATCCTGTATTTATTACTAAGTATGTAATAAATTAATTTTTTTTCCAACAATAAATATAATTATATAATAACATAAGTTTATGTCTATAGGAGATGAGTTTAAAACTACATGTGAATAATAATGCTACTACTTTTTAGAAATTTTAAATTTTACTTTTCACAAGTCTAGAATTTTTCAATATCAATACAGAATTTAAAATTGGTAAAAATTCAATTTGTCTATCAAATAATTTATTGCAAATACTTGAATATTTTAACTGCACAGAAAAGCTTAAAATCATTATCACAAATTGATGTGATTTTTTTCTAAATGATATCTATGATAAGTTTGGATTACCTTTCATCAGTAGCGTATAGCTTGGCGCCTCTCTCTTGAGCCATGACTTCCATCATGGCCTGTAGTCGCTTGTTACCTGTGAAATTAACACATCAGGTCAAATCACTGTACATGTATTACCAAGACACATTTATTGTATACCAGTGATGCTAGCTGCAAAAATGTAGCCCTCTCTGATTTTTTAATCTGATATTTTCTGGAGAGGGCCCTCCCCCCAAAAGGCTACATTATTGCAGCTACCGTGGTGCATACTGTCAAAGCCTGCAATTGAACTGCATTGGAACTTTATATCCAAAAAAATATTTAAAGATTTCAATTAAGAATTTTACAATATTTACAATAGTCATGCAACAAAGATGGGAATGTTATTGTAAAGCTGCTCCAGTTTAGATTAATTTGACTTTTGTAGCCCCAAAAGATAGGAATCTAAAATAAATTATAAGGAAGATTTTTTTTTTGTTTGGGATAATTGTTTACAAATACAGTGTATAAAATTGTTTTATATTGCTGTACAAAGCAATATCTCTTATACAATCAAGTGCGATATCATTTCAACTTACAACCAACCCCTCCTACAATGAGAACTTCTTCAGATCCACAGTGAGCCATGGCACGCTCTGAAAAGATTTACAAAATAAAATTAATTCATGTAAAACAATTTATCTACACTATTAAAATCTGTCATGATCACGCAGGAGAACCTCTGCTTGAATCACTTTTTAGATGAGATTCCATGGTTTTGATTTAAATAAGTTTATTGAAACAAGAGATGTAAAACACTTATGCCCCCTCCCACAAATAATTGGAATTTTTCGAAGTCCAAGGGGGCATAATCTGTCAAAAATGGCTCGATCATACCCAAAACAGAACTTGATCTAAATATTCTTATGATAAATCTGTATACTGTACCAAATTTCATTTCAGTATGTGCAACCCCTGCGAAGAAAATGAATGAAACTTGGTGGACCGACAGACAGATTGACTGTCAGCAGCAAAGCAAAACGCCCTCCCATCTTCGAAGGGGGGCATCATAAATTTACTTATTTCTTCATTTATTCTACAAGATGTATGGCTTATCAGATAACATTAAATTACACAATTACAAAATAAAGGATGAATATTAAATACAGAAGTTTAGCACTATAATGTTTGTACAAAAACATCATACACTATATTGCTTGTACATAATTCATGTATTTTCAACAGCATTTTTATTTACAGTTTATAGTAGTAAGCTCAAAGTGCTTCTGCTTTCTGTGGAATCATTATGTGCTGCTTTTAACTGAAATACATTTAAAAAGTAATAATTATTATTTACACATTAACATGTGTAAGTACCTGTTATTTCTATCAACATGGCAAACACTGTCTCTTGCAGGGAAAAGCAGAGATCTTCTGGTGAGTATTCTCCCTTTTCCAGCAGCTGTGGTGCTCTCTCCTGTTAGAGCAAAGAAAAGTCAAGGATTTAAATTCTTCCATAATTTAATTACCATATACTAAATAAATTATACATTGTTTTTATCAAAATTGTCATAATTTCTTGGTAGAAAGAGAGATGAGGTGAGGGAAAGGGGGGATGTTGCTACAAAATACTAGTGCTTGTATACATGTATTTATCACTTAGTGTATAATACTTAAGATAGACTTACCTCTATAAAGGAGAGTAATCCTGAGAAAGATACATCCATTCCTTTGACAACATAAGGTAGTTCTAAGAATTTTTTTCCTCTGCATTACAAAAGAAAATATTCTTTTAATACAGCCTATCACAGAATTTTTTTATTCTTGCAAAAATATATCTTATCATGTTTCAGATCTATTTCAGTAATAAAGCTTGTTATCACATCTTCCAACCATTGAATTTTATAAATACATAATAGTTAAATACATGTACATATACATGTTTAGGTGAAGTGTGTATTTCACACTTATAATTATAATAATTAAATTACTGAGATACAAGAACTTTAATTACTTCTATATTTAACTTATAAACTACTTATAATAAGTGAGTGATTCAATCTGTTAAATATGATAGAAATTCAAAATTTGTTAATGAAGTACACATTCACTTACTTTTTTGCCAGTTGTTCTATATTATAACCAGGACTTGGGTCATTTGACAGCTGAATAGTGAAGCAAATAAAATTATTAAACATGTCTTCTTTCCATTTTATTCTAATCAGTGTTGATATCAAGCTTGTAATTTACCGGTATACATAAAAAAAGTCATTAAAAATAGCTGCATCCATGAGTCAGCTAATCATTTTAAAAATAAGATAAATATTTAAAACAGGTAAAAGCTTTACCTTTAAAACCCTTGCAAATCTATCTAGACAATTTCCAACTGCAATGTCTATAGTTTCACCAAATATGCGATATCTTCTCTGGGAATATGCTATCACCTACAAACAAATATATATGTACATGTATTTTCTTTTAAAAGGAAACTTCAGCTCCACATCATCAATCACCATGGCAGAAACTATACATAATTATGTACATGCATATTGCTGATATCATATGATGTAAACATTAGTACCTGTGTATTTCCTCCACTGACGTAAAGGACAGTTGGATTCACTGCTCCAGTAATCAATCGTCCCATTTCTATGTCTGCATCAGAGTCATGGACAACACAGTTGTAATTCTTACATACAAAATATTAATCAATAAGACAATTGTTCAAGTGGTATTTTTTAAAAAGTGTATATACCAGGTAATTCCTTGAAATCAATTATTGAAATTCATTGATTCAGTCTTGAATATATTTCAATTTAGAAACAAATTATATAAAAAATATAAATGAATTGCAGGCCAGCAGTATAATTATAATTATGCTTTGTCGTCTTTTTAATAAAAATCAGTATTAAATAAGGATACGCCCAATACAATGATTCACTGCAATCATTGGTTTTCTCCAAAGCTGTGCCACAGTTCTAGCAACAATAGCAGTGGAAACCAATGGTGCTCCCATTCCTGGGCCTAAAATGAAATATAAATGCTTCAAGTCTTTCATTATAAGGGGAAAAAAATAATCATGCATGTCATAACAACTACTCTTTTTGAACTTATAGCAAAGGAAAAGAAAAGTACTTAAGCAGCTGGGATTTGAAATTTTACAACAGCAATAAATAGAATAATGATCGTTGATAAAGTCTCTTTATGTTCTTATATAGTCTACTTGTGTGCCAAGTTATATTGAAATCAGCAAAACTGTAGGAGGAGTAGCATTTTGAAAAAATTTTACAGTCATTTCTATTTTTAGTAACCATGGCAACACCGTTCATTTTTAAAATTAAAATTCGAACATAAAATTATGTATCTTAGTGTATTCTACTTGTGTGCCAAGTTATACTGAAATCAGACCAAAACTGTAGGAATTAATTGAAACAATTTTAAAAATTTTTAGTTGAACACCGTTCAATAAAAACCAATACACAGAATTATGTATCTTAGGTAGTCTACTTGTGTGCCAAGTTATACTGAAATCAGACCAAAACTGTAAGTAGTAGCATTTTGACACAGAAATTTCTATTTTTAGTATGGCAACACCGTTCATCGAAATCAAAAACCAATACACAGAATTATGTATCTTAGTGTAGTCTACTTGTGTGCCAAGTTATACTGAAATCAGACCAAAACTGTAGGAAGCATTTTGTAAGAATTTCACAGAAATTTCTATTTTTAGTAACCACAGCAACACCGTTCATCAAAATCAAAAACCAATACACAGAATTATGTATCTTAGTGTAGTCTACTTGTGTGCCAAGTAATACTGAAATCAGACCAAAACTGTAAATGCATTTTGAAAGAATTTCACAGAAATTTCTATTTTTAGTAACCACGGCAACACCGTTCATTGAAATCAAAAACCGATACACAGTTATGTGATGTGCCAATATTGAAATCAGACCAGAACTGTAGGAGTGTGTGAAAGAATTTCAAAAATTTCTATTTTTAGTAACCACGGCAACACCGTTCAAATATAAAAACCGATATACAGAATTATGTATCTTTGTTTACTTGTGTACCAAGTTATATTGAAATCAGACCAAAACTGTAGTAGACGTGACATTTTGAAAGAATTTCACAGAAATTTCTATTTTTAGTAACCACGGCAACACCGTTCATCGAAATCAAAAACCGATATACAGAATTATGTATCTTAGTGTAGTCTACTTGTGTGCCAAGTTATATTGAAATCAGACCAAAACTGTAGGAGGAGTAGCATTTTGAAAAATTGTTTACATGAAATTCTAAAATATTTTAGGCTTTGATTCACTGTGGAAATAATCATGCATGTCATAACAACTAACTTTTTTGTCTTTTTTTTTGGTCACAAATATTGTTTTGTTTTTTTTGGTCACAAATGACATTTATTTCTACATTTTATCCACAGGCCTTAAAGAGTTGCTAAAAAAATAAAACAAACATCCCAATTTTTTGTAAATTGGAATGAAGCAAATTTGTAGTTGAAAATACAATCAAAAGCTTCAGAATAAAGGCCTATTCAGCAATCACATCTAACAATGGCATACCTTTTGTATATGCAATAACATCTATTTCATCTGGGGAAATGTTTGCTTCATCTAAAGCTTTCTGTAGCACATCTAGTGCATGTTCTCTGTGATGTTTAGCTGTATCTTTTGGTAAAAACCCTGAAAAGTAAATGATTGGGAAAAAAATCATGAAAGTTTCTAAAGTTTTGAAAATTCTATCTTTCAATGTGTGACTGTGACATGGTAACGGGTTCGTTTGCCCGATCTACCTGTTCGCAGGAACCCGTTCGCGCAGAGTCCATTCGCCCGAAATATTTTTTGCCCAATATCTTGTTCGCTTTATATGTGGTTCGCCCAATACTTATATATACTTGTATGTACCATATGAATTAAAAATTAACATACCAGTATTATATCATTTTTTCTATTAATTCCCTTACAAACTTGGATTTTTTTCTCTCAAATTCTGATACGAAGAGCAATGTTTATATAGTCTAAATTAATTTTTGATTTGATTCTAATGTTTTTTGAATGACTAAGTGTTTGCACTATAGTTAATTAGATGATTAATATCAATGTTAATTAGGGGGGATACATCCGTGTTATTTTTACGAATTGTGCTATGTTTTGAAAACAATTAAGGGACTGAGACGTTAAAAGGTGTGACCGCTGATACTAAAACAGGTGTGACCATTTGTGACCATATGCATAACGTCTGACGGACACAGTGACGGTCTGTTTTATTTTGAATGTACAAAAAATTAGGAAAGAAATTCATTAGATTTTATTCTACAAATAATTACTGCAAACGGACCATGTGTGAACAAGTTTTAGGGCGAGCGGACTAACCATTTTTTTTTAGGGCAAGATGGAACCCTGTGGCAGTAAAAATGGCTGAATTAAATATAAAAAAGATGGGGATTTTTTTTTACCTTGACCTGGTGGAGTAATGTAGGTGTGTCGTGGATTAGATAAGACAATGCCATCTTTAACAATACCAACTCCAAGTTTATTGGCACTTCCTTCAAATCCAATTACAACAACCATAGTTCAGTTCATGAAATTCTAAAATATTTTAGGTTTGATTCACTGTGGAAGTATCATTATTCGAGAAAAAGTCGATGCTTCAATCACAAAAAGTGCATTCTGGTGTCTTTTGCTGTTCGTTTACATAAAAACAACAATATTTGCAGGGGAAATATTTTATCCATGTGGATAGCAACTCAAACTGGAACTACAAGAGGAAACATAAAATTAAAACCGAACAAAGTTATCAATTTGTCCCTGAAAGAATTCGATTGTTTTATTTTCTAGTTTTTCTCGCTTTTACATGAACAAATACTTTTGCAGTGTCAACTCTTGTGTTTGTTTCTAATATATTCTGTCAATTTTCTTCTTTTACTTCGAAAAAGAACTTTACAAACAAAATTATTATTACTTTAGCACCGGAATATTTTTTGAACGCCTTAACAAAGATATGATATTCCGGAAAAAGTTGGAATGGTTGACAAGAAGATTGAACATGTTCATGTTCAATGCTGATTAAAGATTTACTCATTTAATGATTTATTCTAAATGATGTCAGATGCAAAGATAAGATGGGTAAGAAGAGTATGCCTCTGTTTTCATTTAGTTTACAAATAGCAATACTCCAATTTAACCAGTTTTTTTTTTAAACTAAAGATTTGTTAAATAGTTGATGTACCATTTGTCATATAACATTAATACTGTCTAACATATAATTGTAAACGAAATAATGTAAATAGGAATAATAATTTTATAGTAAATAATTTATCTTAAAATAATTACATGTATTTTAAGATTGGACACATATACTGGGCTATTTTAAAAAGCAGTGCAAAGAATGTGAATGAATCAAACTTTTCAGTATGTTTTTACTTAAGTTGCTGTAGCATGTTAACCATATTTTGTTTCTATCTTAAAGGATCATGAGGATCCAATGAAACAGTATATAGAAGATAAAAGAAAAAGGGAACAGTCGGAAAGGTAAATTTATTCAAAAGGTCTACAAAGTAACCAGGTGATACCTCATTTCCAACATGTATGTAATGTTCAGTGATTTCTCGGTGATTTAAAGGAGATTATTCTATTCAAAGTTGCTCTTCATGTACATGTAATGTAAAATCACAAATTTTCTTGGGGTCAAATTTTTTAGCTTGAGAATATAATATGTTGCGGGGATTCGATTTCGTGGATAAAGAAATGTTGCACAGTGATACATTTGGAATTTTATATTTGGTGAGGGACATAAATTCATGGGTCTCTTCATACCTTGAACACAAAAAAATCAACCCCCATGAAAATTATTGTATTTAAGAAAATTTGTTACTTTCAGGTCTATATTCCATAGTATTTAAGGCCGCCTTACTCCAACCTAGGGTTTATTAATTTAAAAAATAAAAAATTGTTCATTCATGAATCTTTGAAGCAAGGATATAAGTAAAGACTTATTTGCTTATTTTGCTGTGATCTGATCTTCTTCTGTATTTCAGACTAGCCCAGCTGAAAGCTCTCGTCTTTGATTCCTCTTCAGACTCCTCTAGTGATTCTGACTACCACAGAAAACTCAACAGAAAAAAATCAAAGAAGTCTAAAAAATCCTCATCAGACTGGAAATCACGAAAGAAAAAGTCAGATGAAAGATCACGGTCTTCAACCTCAAACTCCAGTCAACTCAAGGAAGACAAGAAAGAGAAAAGGAAGAGAAAAAGGAAAAAATATGCAGAAAGTGACAGTGAATTCGAACGGAAAGGAAAGCGGAGAAAACAGGGTGAAGTGTTTGAAAATCCAAAACTAGAAACTATTAAAGGAGATGACTCAAGCGGAGTTTGGGTGGAAAAAAGGAAAAGTGATATTGCTTTGAAAAAGACAGACACAGTTCAGTTGAAAGTTCATCCAAGAAAACATAATAAGCATAAAAAGCACAAACATAAACATAAACAATCTTAACATGCTGTTAAATTATGAATGTCTGTGTAATATTTGTTATGCAATCAATATGTTTTGGGGAATTTCACACTTCATGTATGGTCAAATAAATACTCTTAAAAATTGTCACCAATACTTCCTGTAAATTAATCAAAAGATTATGTACATGTATACATTATTTTGTTATACCTTTTATATATTTTTCTGTATACATGTATTATTAATAAAAAGTCCAACAAAAGAAATGTTTATAACATCGGTTTAACAATGTCTCAGTTGACCAGTACAACATATTAAGAATTGTTACACTGCAAAGTCACTGTTATGTCATATGTACCGGTAATTAATCATTGTTCAATATTGGCAACTCAGAAATAGTCAAAGTTTAGAGCTGCAAGAACTGTTGCTACTATATATTTGAAAGACAGAGATACAGGAAGAGTACATTTGTGATAAATAAGTTTTGTGATGTAATAATTTTATATTATTATTAATTGTTTATTTCTTATTGAATATTAATTGGAGCATAGTATTTAGCACCCTCCCCCCAACCCCACTTTCACTGGTGGTAAATGGTGGCATTTCAAAATAAATTGGTAATATATTGAAAGAAGTTCCATTCTTCTTTCCCCCATAGGCGCTTTTCATTCAAATTCTTAAATATAACATAGTAAAATTTTGAATCTACATTAAATGCACCTTAGAGCTGTTACAATAAAAGATTCTGACAATTTCAGTCAAGAAAAACCACATTGAAAAAAGATGTACCACACCTATATACATAAACTTAAGGTACATAGGTGTACCTGGTACATCTTTTTCTGAAATTGTAAGAATCTTTATATTTTATCAACTTTTATCATAAGTGATTTAAAGTAGATTCAAAATTTTATTAATCTATTTTACATGTAACAATCTGGAAGATAAGCCCTTTTGCTCTCCCCCCTTCCCCTGAAATAGAAATTTCAGGTTGGACAATTTTTTCCTTTTTTTTGTAATTTTTTTTTTCAGGTTTGAAATGAATTTTTTTCTCTTTCAATTACCCCCTCCACTTTCAGTATATAAAATTAAATTAATTTCATTGAAACCATATATCCAATGAATAATATTAATTAACAAAATTTTACCAATTGCTTCATGAAGTGTCCCACACACTGTTATTAATAGAGAATTAGATTTTTCTCATTGCTGAATAAAGAGCCAATCATTGATAGTTTTCATGATTTTACTCCTAGAAGTACTTGTAAAATAACAATTGACTGTAATATACATGAACACTGATGAAGTACGTAAAAAAAAAAATAAACAACATGTGATATCACAGTTCTTTCTGTATGTTTAATATACATATATTTTGCAGTGTGTGGTTTGAAACAGTGATAAATTTATATAAAAACAAAAGGCTCATTCGCCTTGACAGTCACCTGAGAATTATATGTACAACAAGATGGTCAATCTTTTGCAAAGAATTAAAATGAAAATGTGTTCCATGTACAATGTATTTCTCTCTGTCATATATAGCTTAAGCTAGGGGGATGATTTCACATATTTGTTTCTCCTGAGCAACAGAAATATTATAACAAGATTGGAGGAAATAGGTCCAGAATTAAATTTCAAAATTTTAAAGGAGTGAAATATGCTAATATAAAAAGTTGACAGAAGATTCGCAATGATGATAAACAGGAATGATAGCAATATAGGTTATCTGTGCGACATAGATAACTAATAATGCATAGCTGTACAAGAGATGCTACCTTAGTGTAAAGCAAATGTAACCATGAATACATTAAAAAAAAAAAAATGTTTATTTTAATTAAAGATGTTTTTAAAAATAATAATAAAAAAAATCATTTTTCAAAATACATCCAAAATTGATTGAGCCAATTTTCACTTCAGATTACACATAAAAATATTGTACAGACACTTTGAAGTAAAACAGCTCAGAGACTGAATGTTTCATTTTTTGGTAAATGTATATTTTCAAACTTGTGCTATTCATCCAATGGCTGTCCATCTTTAAATTTTTTGTACATGGATTCACACTCCTCAAACAACTGGTCACATGTAGTTGACTCAATGGGAAGCTGCAGAGAGAGATAAAATATGCAATGTTTACAATATGTATTAACCTCATATGTGCAAATACATGAAGCTAGCTTAAAGGGACATGGACACAATTTCAACTGAAAATAATTTAATTCTGGTTGTAACGCTGTATTTGATTGGATAAAAAATTTACTTTATATTGTATAAAATAGGTTGCCTACATCACAATAACTTTTGTCAAAAACGTATCAATCCGCCTGACGTTACATTCAAATTTTGTACAAATTGAAGTCATTTTGTTAGAACAATCATCTTTTTTTCTTTCATCAAATGAATGAAAATTAAATTATAAGGAATGAATTTAATAGCTACTCATTTTATACAGTATAAACTGGGTTGGAACAGATTACGCTTTTTTATAAACCGCTTCGCGGTTTATAAAGCGTTAACTGTCCCAACCCAGTTTATACCGTATAAAATGGGTACCTATTAAATTCATTCCTTATAAAACCCATGGGTAATCAGAGATTACAGAGCTCACCTAAACGAATGTTGTCTTTTTACTGTAAACCAACTATTATTCGCGTCATCTTTTATTTGCAATTTGTCAGCTTGAAATCAATCCATGGCGATCAATTTTCATGAATAAGAAAATGTTTTCTACATAAACAAAACAAAATAAATGGTTCAGGTTTTTTAATATTCACAACTTAAAGTATTGGTAGGTCCCAAAACTCGAGAGTATATCTTGCACGCGAATAAAAGTTGGTTTACAGTAAGTAAGGCTATTAATCAACATTCTAAAAAGTGTACATCCAAAATTTATGCAATTTTGATCTGATAGAGCTTGCAGTTACTTTGGAATAGACCTTACCAAAAAACTCCAGGGGTCATGATATGAAAATTTATAAACCACATAAGTTTCAGCTTTTCTGGCCCAGTGATTCTTGAAGTTTATTTTTTTAATGACCCGACCCTTTTTTCTTTTTTCTTGATTATCTCCCCTTGGCAGATGGATTGGCCCTTTATTTTAAAAATTTGAATCCCCCTTCACCCAAAGGTGCTTTGTACCAAGTTTGGTTATAAAATTTGCCTTGTGGTTCTTGAGAAGTTGAAATTGTGAAAAGTTTACAGACGGACGGTCGGACGACGGACTCTGGGTGATCAGAAAAGCTCACTTGAGCTTTCAGCTCAAATGAGCTAAAAAGACTTTATCATAACCTAACGGAACTTGATCTAGATATTTTTATAATAAATCTGTATACGAAATCTCATTCTAATATGTGCAACCTAATTAAGCAAAGAAAATGAACAGAAACTACAAATAATTGGAATTTTTCAAAGTCCTAGGGGCATAACTCTGTCCAAAATGGCTCAATTGTACCCTAAACAAATCTTGACCTCGATATTCTTATGATAAACCTGTATTTCATATTTCATTTAGAAGTGTGCAACCTTTGCAAAGAAAAGGAACAGAAATTAACTGATGGTGGATCGACAGACCGACTAACAGACAGACTGACTGACCAACTGACCAACAGCAGCAAAGCAATATGCCCTCCCTTCTTCTATAAGGGGCATAACCATAAAAGATGGTCATCAAAACTGCAGATATGCATGTCCAAAACAGAAATCTGAGAAATGAAACTACTACTGTAAAAAAAATCTTAAAACCTTTTAAACCATTCCTTTTTAAGGACGTGTTCCCATAAGCTAACAAGACAACAAAGTGGGCATGTGTTTTGAAATATAAACTACCTTAAAAATATAGATCTTTCATTTATTTTTCAAATGTTGGCTGCAGCAGCTGCAGATCTAATTAACTGAAATTTGTCTCAGATACTGTACAAGCTAAACTTAAGAATGTTTAGTATTTGTCAGACAATAACATGCATATAGATCTATTGATTATCTGCTAGTTTCAACATACAATAGTTAGGGCACCTCTGGAAAATAATGTTTCCTCAATAAAATAATTGATGTTTACAAGTTTGAAAGCAAATTAATTATGATCAGTTTTTCCAATACATGTTTGTCACAGAATTCATTATTAAGCAAAAATACTTAAAGACCTAGAAAAATACTTCATTAGCAGCTTGATCCCCAGCTTACAAAATTAAAACGTGCAGGGAAAGCAAACACCTGGAATATTTCAAACTCAATTCTGATTCATTTTCTACCTTTCTTTGTGTCACATATCTTTTTCCTAAGAAGGAAGTATTGCTTTCATATCTTGTCACTGGATCCAGCTTCTCTGGTTCTTGTTGTGAAATCCAAACCTGTGAAGAAAATTTAAGTATGTATTTTCAATTAATAAATTAGAAATACTTCACATTATAGACTCCAATTACATTTATCCAAAAACGAAAGAGAGAGAGAAATATTTAACCAAGGCCATGCAAATTTAATTTCTTGTTCGTCGGACATTTTATGAAAAACGAGCGGGTTAGCGGTTGAATAATAATAATATTACTTTTTGGTTGGCAAAATTTCTAGGCTGGGTGTGAAAAACTTTGAACGGACAATTATATTTTTTTTTGATTTTCTGGCTAAGTAGATTAAAAGTACGATGAATAGAGCGGAAATAGAAGAGAAATCAGCACAAAAATCCCATGGTGCAGGAATTTTAAATTAATATTATTTGTATACTTTTGTTTAAATACAAGAGAGCGGGTCCGACGAACAATAAATTTTATTGGTGTGGCCTAATGATGAATGAGAGCAAGTCCACAGAAAATGGAATTTTGCTTATTTTTTTTCTTGTAACAAATCATTTCTTTTTCTGAAATCATATCATTTGTGGCATTCAGGTCCAATATGAAGTGATGACTTCAATGCAAATAAAATTTCTGTCTGATCTAAGGGTACACTGCATAGATTAGAGGAAAAAGTTAATCTTTGTACAGAGAGACAAATACACAGTTAAACCCTGATATCTAAAAATCTGCTATCTTGAAAACCTGAGATATGTTGAAATGAGTTGATTGTGAGTCCCAATCACTTTTTTTCTGTTTACAAATCCTTGGATATTTCATTTACTGTAAACCAACTATTATTTCCATTATTTTTTATTCGCTATTCATCAGATTGAAAACAATCAGCGACGAATAATGTTCACGAATATGGAAAATTTTATACAAAAACAAAGCAAAATAAACGATTCACGGCGAATTATATTCATATATATATATATGTATATATAAATTAATTATATAAATTATTTATATTTGAAAATCTTTATATTATGTTATGAAATTCATTAACCTTAGACTGGGATGCTGATGCAAAGTGGAAAAAGAGACCTGATTGAATAATTTAACTTATCTTATTAATGATATGCTTTTTTCCCCTCCAGAATTCAACAGCTTTTGACACAGACATTACTTCAAATGCAATTTAATAACAAACTTGCAGAACAATTGTCCAGTTTGGAGCGCCACATCATGAGATGTGAAATGGCTCTAGAACAAGTTTAAGTTATATTATCCCATTACTTGAGAGTTAGTCTCCCTCATCTATGAGTTCATGCAATTTTATTAACGGGGTGGGGTGGGGGTGGGGGTTAAGGTTGAGATTAACGGAAAAGAAAACGGAGAAAACATAGTGAAGTGTTTGAAAAGCCAAAACTTGAAACTATTAAAGGAGATGACTCAAGCGGAGTTTGGGTGGAAAAAAAGAAAAGTGATATTGCTTTGAAAAAGACAGACACAAATCAGTTGAAAGTTCATCCAAGAAAATATAATAAGCATAAAAAGCACAAACATAAACAATCTTAACATGCTGATAAATTATGAAGGTCTGTGTAATATTTGTTATGCAATCAATATGTTTTGGGGAATTTCACACTTCATGTGTGGTCAGATAAATACTCTTAAAAATTGTCACCAATACTTCCAGTAAATTAATCAAAAGATTACATACATGTATACATCATTTTGTTATACCTTTTATATATTTTTCTGTATACATGTGTTATTAATAAAAAGTCCAACAAAAGAAATGTTTCTTACATCGGTCTAACAATTTCTCAGTTGACAAGTCCAACTTAAGAATTGTTACACCGTAACGTCACTGTTATATCATATGTAATTATTCATTGTTCAAAATTGGCAACTCGGAAATAGTAAAAGTTAAGAGCTGCAAGAACTGTTGCTACTAGTATTTGAAAGACAGAGATACAGAAAGAGTATATTTGTGATAAATATGTTTTGTGATGTAATAATTTTATATTATTTTTTTCTTTCTCATTCAATATTGTAGCGTAGCATTTACCCCCCCCCCCCCCCACTTTCACTGATGGTAAATGGTGGCACTTCAAAATAAATTGGTAATATATTGAAAGAAGTTCCATTCTACTTTTCCACATAGGGGCTTTTCTACCGGATTCTTAAATATAACATAATAAAATTTTGAATCTACATTTAATACATTTACACCTAAGAGCTGACAATTTCAGTCATGAAAAACCACATTTAAACAAGATGCCCATGGGCCACACCGCTCACCTGGGAAGCTTTGACCATGCGATTCTTAACCAGATTTCCCCCTTGTAATACCTACTGTGACCCCATTGTACCCCAAGGGTCTTAATTTGGACAATTCAAATTCCCTATTGTGGCCCCGCCCAACCCAGGGGGGGGGGGCATGATTTGAACAATTTAGAATCTACACTACCCCAGGATGCTTCCACATAAGTTTAAGCTTTTCTGGCCTAGTGGTTCTTAAAAAGAAGTTTTTCCTATACATTTCTATGTAAAACTTTGATTCCCCATTGTGGCCCCACCCAACCTCCGGGGTCATAATTTGAATAATTTAGAATCTGCACTACCCCAGGATGCTTCCACATGCGTTTCAGCTTTTCTGGGGTTCTTGAGAAGAAGATTTTTAAAGATTTTTTCCTATATATTTCTATGTAAAACTTTGATTCCCTATTGTGGCCCTGCCCAACCCCTGGGAGTCATGATTTGAACAATTTAGAATCTACACTACCCAAAGATGCTTCCACATAAGTTTCAGCTTTTCTGGCCCAGTAGTTCTTGAGAAGAAGGTTTTTAAAGATTTTTCCTATATATTTCTATGTAAAACTTTGATTCACTATTGTGGCCCCGACCAACCCCGGGGTCATGATTTGAACAATTTAGAATCTACACTACCCAATGATGCTTCCACATTAGTTTCAGCTTTTCTGGCCCAGTAGTTCTTGAGAAGAAGATTTTTAAAGATTTTCCCTATATATTTCTATGTTAAACTTTGATTCCCTATTGTAGCCCTGCCCAACCCCTGGGGGTCATGATTTGAACAATTAAGAATCTACACTACCCCAGGACGTTTCTACATGTTTAAACTTTTCTGGCCCAGTGGTTCTTGAGAAGAAGATATTTTACTGACTTATCTCCCCTTGTGAGAGGACCTGGCCCTTCATTTTAACAATTTAAATTCCCCTTCACCCAAGGATGCCTTGTAACAGGTTTGGTTAAAATTGGCCTTGTGGTTCTTATGAAGAAGTCGAAAATGTGAAAAGTTTACAGACAGTCAGACAGACAGCTGGACAGCTAGACGGATGGACGACAGATAAAATGTGATCAGAAAAGCTCACTTGAGCCTTCGGCTCACGTGAGCTAAAAAGATGTACCACAACTATATACATAAACTTAAGGTACATAGGCGTACGTGGTATATCTTTTTCAAATGTGATTTTTCTTGACTGAAATTGTCAGAATCTTCATATTTTATCAACTTTTATCATAAGTGATTTAAAGTAGATTCAAAATTTTATTAATCTATTTTACATGTAACAATCTGGAAGACAAGCCCCTATGCTCCCCCCTTCCCCTGAAATAGAAATTTGAGGCTGGACAATTTTTTCCTTTTTTTTTGTAATTTTTTTTTCTCTTTCAATTACCCCCCCCCCCCCCCCCCTCCACTTTCAGTATATAAAACAAAATTAATTTCATTGAAAACATATATCCAATGAATATTAATTAAGAAAATTTTACCATGCTTCATGAAGTGTCCCGATGTATAGAGAATTAGATTTTCTCATTGCTGAATAGAGAGCCAATCATTTATAGTTTTCATGACTTTATTCCTAGAAGTACTTGTAAAATAACAATTGACTGTAATATACATGAAGTATGTAAAAGAAAAAATAAACATGTGATATCACAGTTCTTTCTACATGTTTAATATAGGTATTACATATATTTTGCAGTGTGCAGTTTGAAACAGTTATTTACTGTAATAAATTTATATAAAAACAAAAGGCCCATTGGCCTTGACAGTCACCTAAGAATTATGTGTACAAGAAGATGGTCAATCCTTTGCCATTAGAATTAAAATGGATTTGTGTGCCATGTACAATGTATTTCTCTCTGTCATATATAGCTTAGACTAGGGGGTGATTTCACATATTTGTTTCTCCTGAGCAATAGAAACATTACAGATATAACAAGATTGGAGGAAATTGGTCCAGAATTAAATTTCAAATAATTCAAAGGAGTCAAATATGCTAAAATAAAAAGTTGACAGAAGATTCACAATGATGATAAACAGGAATGACAGCAATATAAATTATCTGTGTGACATGGATAACTGATAATGCATAGCTGTACAAGAGATGCTACCTTAGTGTAAAGCAAATGTAACCATGAATACAATAAAAAATAAAAAAAAAAATGTTTATTTTAATTAAAAATGTTTTTAAAAATAATAATAAAAAAAAATCATTTTTCAAAATACATCCAAAATTGATTGAGCAAATTTTTACTTCGGATTACACATAAAAATATTGTACAGACACTTTGAAATAAAACAGCTCAGAGACTGAATGTTTCATTTTTTGGTAAATTTTGTACATTTTCAAACTTGTGCTATTCATCCAATGGCTGTCCATCTTTAAATTTTTTGTACATGGATTCACACTCCTCAAACAACTGGTCACATGTAGTTGTCTCAATGGGAAGCTGCAGAGAGAGATAAAATATGCAAAATTTACAATATGTATTAAGCTCATACGTGCAAATACATGAAGCTAGCTTAAAGGGGTATGGACACAATTTCAACTGAAAATAAAGTGCCGCGCCACAGCATGATACGCCCGTCAAAAATTACAATTTTCTTCAACAGTTTAGCTTGCAATCACGTCAACCCTGATTCTAAATTTCCATGATTTTTCCATTCCTAAAAAATATTTATCCATCCCCTGTGATGTAAGCATTAGTTATAACAAATATTACATCATTGATGGATTTCTATGCTGGTTGTGTTTGTCAAATGCCCATCATATTAAACAATATCAAATTAGTCTTAACAAATTTATCTATATCAAATTAATTTTGAAAAGAAAAGGCTGGCCATCAAATGACATATGCTGTAAACTAACCAACAGTTCTTCTGTTCTAATTCCCAAAGGTCATCATACAGCTTGATCAGAGTGATTAAGACAGCTAGCCTGAACTCATTAATTAATCTTTAACTGGATGCTTGTCTACTCATTAATACCAATAGATGAATGGGTCTGCACTATCTACCATAACTTTTTTAAAAACATATGAAATACTCAAAGATTTTTTTTGGTTGACATTTAATGTCCGACAGGTTTTAATATAAAATTCATATGGACATGCTGATTCCACCCCAATCCCATAAAATTAGTTTTTATAAATTAACAATTTTATATAATATAAGATTATTCTACTATGCAATATTAAATTAGTTTTAATTACTTTTCATTAAATTTATTTTAAAACTTAGGCCAGCCAGCAAGAGCTATTTTTAATCCAACAGGCTCACACATTTGCCCAATACTCAAGGGATATAGATAACACCATGCTCTAGCTATTAGCGAACTCCTCACACTCAAAACTCATTAATTTCTCTCTAATTTGACATGCAATTTTCTGTTATCAAAATTCTTCTTGAGTCTTGACCAGTGCTTGATAATTACACTCATGGGAGAGGTAGGATTTCTTTAACATACATAATATTTGTTATAGATTGCTGTCAAGTATATGCTTTAAAAAAAATAAGTATTTTCTTGATTTAACACTTTTTTAATAAGGACAGTGCAATACTCTTACTTTATTTGGGATGTGTAAATGAATAGTAAAATTTCATTTAAATCAAAGGTCACAGTGACCTTGAAATAGGTCGCGACACACCTTCTACCTAAGATGCATAAACTGGCCAAGTTTGATGATCGTAAGTCTTATAGTTTTCTAGTTATGGGCCGGAAAGGATTTTTCCATATTTGGCTATATCTTCTTAATTAAAGGTCAGAGCGACCTACTTTTTGTGCGCGACACACCTTCTGCCCAAGATGCATCAGATGACAAAGTTTGATAATCCTAGGCCTAATAGTTTTAAAGTTATGAGCCGGAAACGAAAAGCTAACAGACAGACAGATGGACAGACGGACAGACGGACGGACACGAAGCCTATAACATAATACGTCCCGTCTTAAGACGGGCGTATAAAAACCCCATAGGTAATCAGAGATTACAGAGTTCACCTCAACGAATGTTGTCTCTATACTGTTAACCAACTATTATTCGCGTCATCTTTTATTCGCAATACGTCAGCTTGAAATCAATCCGTGGCGATTAATTTTCACAAATAAGGAAATATTTTCTACATAAACAAAGCAAAATAAATGGTTTGTGGCATTTAATATTCGTGACTTAAAGTAGGTCCCAAAACTCGAGAGTATATCTTGCATGCAAATAAAAGTTGGTTTACAGTAAGTAAGGTTATTAACCAACATTCTAAAAGTTGTACATCCAAAATTTATGCATTTTTTGATCTGATAGAGCTTGCAGTTACTTTGGAATAGACCTTACCAAAAAAATGAATCTACACTTCCCCAAAATGCTTCCATAAGTTTCAGCTTTCCTGGCCCAGTGATTCTTGAAGTTTTTTTTTTAATGACCCCACCCTATTTTTGTCTTTTCTTGATTTTCTCCCCTTGGCAGAAGGATTGGCCCTTCATTTTAAAAATTTGAATCCCCCTTCACCCAAAGGTGCTTTGTACTAAGTTTGGTTAAAATTGGCCTGGTGGTTCTTGAGAAGAATTAAGTTGAAAATGTGAAAAGTTTACAGATGAACGGTCGGACGACGGACACTGGGTGATCAGAAAAGCTCACTTGAGCTTTCAGCTTCGATGAGCTAAGAAGACTCTATCATAGCCTAACAGAACTTGATATAGATATTTTTATAATAATTATACATCTGTATACAAAATCTCATTCTATTATGTGCAACCTAAGCAAAGAAAATGAACAGAAACTACAAATAATTGGAATTTTCCGAAGTCCAAGGGGCATAACTCTGTCCAAAATGGCTCAATTGTATCCTAAACAAATCTTGACCTAGATATTCTTATGATAAACCTGTATTTCATATTTCATTTAGAAGTATGCAACCTCTGCAAAGAAAAGGAACGTACAGAAACTGATGGTGGATCGACAGGCTGACTGACCAACTGACCGACAGCAGCAAAGCAATATGCCCTCCCTTCTTCTATAGGGGCATAACCATAAAAGACAGTCATCAAAACTGCAGATTTGCATGTCCAAAACAGAAATCTGAGAAATGAAACTACTGTAAAAAAAATCTTAAAACCTTTTAAACCATTCCTTTTTAAGGACAAGTGTTCCCATAAGCTAACAAGACAACAAAGTAGGCATGCATTTTGAAATATACATGTAAACTACCTTAAAAATATAGATCTTTCACCTATTTTTCAAATGTTGACTGCAGCAGCTGCAGATTTGATTAATTGAAATTTGTCTCAGATACTGTACAAGCTGCACTTAAGAATGTTTGGAATTTGTCAGACAATAACATGCATATAGGTCTATTGATTATCTGCTAGTTTCAACATACAATAGTTAGGGCACCTCTGGAAAATAATGTTTTCTCAATAAAATAATTGATGTTTACATGTTTGAAAGCAAATTAATTATGATCAGTTTTTCCAAAACATGAAATTTGTCACAGAATGTTGGATTCATTATTAAGCAAAAATACTTAAAAGAACTGGAAAAATACTTCATTAGCAATTTTATTCCCAGTTTACAAAATTAAAACGTGCAGGGAAAGCAAACACCTGGAATACTTTAAACTAAATGCTGATTCAGTTTGTACCTTTCTTTGTGTCACATATCTTTTTCCTAAGAAGGAAGTATTGCTTTCATATCTTGTCACTGGATCCAGCGTCTCTGGTTCTTGTTGTGAAACCCAAACCTGTGAAGAAAATTTAAGTATGTATTTTCAATTAATAAATTAGAAATACTTCACATTATACACTCCTATTACATTTATCCAAAAATGAAAGAGAAAGAAATATTTCACTAATGATGAATAAGAGCAAATCCACGGAAAATGGAAGATAATTCTGCTAATTTTTTGTTGTTGTAACGAATCATTTCTTTTCTGAAATCATATATCATTTGTGGCATTCAGGTCCAATATGAAGTGATGACTTCAATGCAAATAAAATTTCTTTCTGATCTAAGGGTACACTGCATAGATTAGAGGAAAAAGTTAATCTTTGTAAAGAGAGACAAATACAGTTAAACCCTGATATCTAAAAATCTGCTATCTTGAAAACCTGAGATATACTGAAATTAGTTGGCAGTCCCAATCACTTTTTTGTTTCTGTTTACAAATCCTTGGATATATTTCAACTACTGTAAACCAGCTATTATTTGCATTATCTTTCATTCGCGATTCATCAGTTTGAAATCAATCAGCGACGAATAATGTTCCCGAATAAGGAAAATTTTATACAAAAATAAAGTAAAATAAATGGTTCACGGCGATTTATATTCGTGACTTAAAGAAGGTTGTGAAACTCACGAATATTTCTCGCACATGAATAAAAGTTGGGTTACACTATAAGATTTAGCTGCAATAATGTAGCCCTCTCCGATTTTTTTTAATCTGATGTTTTCAGGAGAGGGCTACAATTCCGTCGCATCTCCGTAATGGTGCAAATATTTTTTTTAAAATAGGAGCGACTGCAGGCAAAATAAATTATTTTTACATTCAACTTACTTCCAATAAGACGAAATTTTTATTCACTGTCAACAACAGAGCCCGTTAAATGCGAAAAACTTGTAAAATAACTCTGCCAGTTTCCTGGTAGTTTACTTCAGCAGCCATGACAGTTCACGCGTGACGTAATCAGACTTTCGCTTGAAATTTAGAACAACTGAATAAAGCAAATCAGGTGTTTATAAATGATTATGATGAATTTTATCACAAAAACATCGGTAAATAAAAACATTTTAAGTGTTATTTTTATGCAAGCAGCGATATTTATGCTTAAAATAAGGGAACTCCAAAAAGATCCGCTCCTATAGAACCTAAATTCTCATTGGCTGTCCCAAAATACAATCTATCAAGGTCAGTAAACATGGCGGATAAATTCGAGTTGTGATGTTGACATACACGAAAAATAAGCGATATATGGATCGTTCTGTATATTTTTGGATTGATTTACGGCATGGATGACTACTTTGTTGGAGTCAGGGTAAGAAATGTTTATAAAGTAGCCATTTACTGACAATTTGAGCCGAAATTCGTGCGGGAGCGAATCGCTCCCGCTCTGCACCATTACGGAGATCCTAAGGAGTTGTAGCCCTCTCCCAAAAAAAAAAAAAAAGGAGAGGGCTACATTATTGCAGCTATATAAGATTAGTCCCATCAAGTTCAAGAAAACAAGAAAAACGTGCCACCAAAACATTTAAGTTTTACATAAGTATGTTCTCATAAAATATAGTAAATGTCAATTACTACATCATTATTATCTCATAACCTTTGAATACTTACTAAAGACTCTGAGCCATTGTACGGTGTCATGTTAAAGTTAGATACAAAGATTCTCATCTGCAAATACACAGGCACATTTTATATCCATGATAATTTTTTTGTTCATCATTAATATATGTACCATTAGTTTAGTGGAAGAAAAAACACAAAGTAATAACAAAGGAATCTAATAATATAAGAAACAAGAGGCCCACAGGCCTTATACATATAGGTCACCTGAGTATCATGCAACAACTTTCCAACAATTGAATTTGGTTCATGTTTTAAACCACAGGCCATACAGTAAAACTCGTTTAGTACAAACACGGATATAGCGAAGTTTTTCTGGATCCCCGGCAAAATTCTTAACAAATCTTTGTAAAATTTTACGGTTATAACGATCTCTGATATAACGAATTTACAGATATAGCGAACTGATTTTGAGTCCCGTTGAGATTAAATATAATGAAATTTACATCTTTTATAACGAACTTTCTAAGATCTCAAAATTTGATAAAATTGAACTGACTTTACTTTCTTTTAGCATCTGTATATAAAATTCAATTCATAATAAAACCTTAGTTATCGAAAGTATGTTTTGTAATATTTGCTTCCCTAACATATTTTGTAGTAACTCTTGAAGGAAAACATACATATTGCGAATTCGCTATGTATGGTTATACGAATTTGTTATACGGATATAACCAATTACGGATATAGCGAATTAAATTCACAGGTCCCCAGGACTTCGCTATAACCGAGTTTTACTGTATAAAGCTATAAAAAGATCAAATAAGTACAATCTACCTGTTATGCATTACCAAATTCAAAAACTAATTTTAGGAATCATGTTTAATCAGCTAAAAATTGTAGTACAATAGCATTTTGGAATCTTGGTTTACCATCACCTAATACATAAGTTGGCCTAAAAACTATCAATACACAAGCCATTAAGTTCTTCTTTACGACCACAGGAGTTTGAAGTTTTTATCGTCAATCATAAAAGAAAAAAAAATCCGTAAAAAAAATCTCCCACCTTCAACTAACGTTTAGTTGAAGGTGGGAAAATTGTTTTCCGGATTTTTTTTTTTTGATTGACGATAAAAACTTCCGACTCCTGTGCTACGACCTAATATAATTTTTTTCTTGTTACTTTTTTCATTCTTCCTGCTATGTACCCATGCAGAGAATTATGATTGAGTATGAAAAATGAATGTGCATCCTTGACGTAAGCCGTATCACCCAAATGAAATTGTTTATATGACAGCAGAATTAATTCATCAACTTTAAATACACCTGCAACAGTGTTACTTAGCTTCCATTATAATTAACTTTAATTTTTTTTTCGTCTGCTTTCAGGTTATTAGCTGCAGCTGTATCTTCTACTTTATAATTTTCTGTACATGTAAATAAACGTTCTCTTAATAGGCACATGCACAATGACATACCGAGACATGAACAATGACGTATGTGTTTTTTTTTTCATTTTAATTCCACAATATAATAACTAATTTAAAATTTATATCCATAACAGCCTAGCTGTCGCCCACCCATTGTACATTACAAAGCAGAATAACGGTTGCATGCATTCACTGGATTATATTGTACAATGCAGTTATTAAAAAGTACTTACAAGTAAAAAGAAAGGAAGCAGAATATACCAGATCCACATTGGGAAAATCTCATTGGTTAAGTTAGTCAGGACTAGGCCCGGACAGCAGGTATGGGAGTAAACTTTCTGCAGTGTAAGAAAAATCCATTTAAACTTATTGTTTGGAAGAGACTGTAGCTCTCCTGGTGGAAATTTGCGATGGGGAAAAGTATACAAACTTTAATATCTTGAATGAATAAAGACATTTCAAAAACCATGATGGATTTTGATATTTTATATCAATTAGGTTTGATTATTCTTTCTTGGTTAATACGCCATCTTGGCTTGTCAGTGTTTTTATATTATGCAGAGCCTTGGCTAACAAAGATGGGTTTTTGCATCTCCCCTTTAAAGCAATAACTGTTTTTGAAAATTTTATTTTGCTCCTTTTGAAAAACAAAGCATTAAATTGATAAAATGTAAAATATACTGTTATATAAGAAATCATTAAAAATTTTTAAAAATATTAAATTATTACTGTTCATAACTTTTGATTTGTGAGAAATTAAATTTTAAAAAATATTTAATTATTACTGTTCAATTTTGCAATCCTAAGGAAAAGTCCATTTTCATGTAAGGTTGTATTAATTATTAAAGAGTTTGAATAACAAAATTAAGAATTTATGAAAACTTTGTCTCATTTAAATTAAATGTCAACTCTATGTTTCCTGCAAAAATAAGGTCTTAATAGAACAAGGTTCAATTATGGCCTTTTTTGACCCTGTGAATGTCTGAAAAGACTGAAACTGCTAAGTTTTAGTTAACAATGCATTAGATATCATTTAGACCTTTGGTGACTGCATTTCTATCATAAATGATGTAATTTTCTGGCTAATCAATGCATTATGACATCACGAAATTCTCCATTTTCCTCATATTCTAAAAAGTATAGTAATTCGACTTATTTTTAAGCTATCTTTTAAGGGGAGACAGGGAACATGTCACATGACTAAAAAGACATACTACGTCATAATCAACGGTGATATACATGTTAAACGTTGTTAAAATCAACAGTTATTGTGTAATTTTATTCTAAATTCTAAAATTGTGTTTTAAACATTTAATTACAGAAATTATTATAAATAAAATTCTTAAAGATCTTGCCATCATTTAGATACTGTGAAGTTGCGAAATCTACACATTTGTTTCTCTTTACCCTGCAGTCTGACGTCACTAATAAAATTCTCAGCAGTGTGCAGCGAGATCTACACCCGTAATTTCATCATAAACAGGTCACAGTCAATGTATTTTTCTGATTTTTAAATATTTTTTTAACATTTTTGAATGTTTATGTTTTCGTGTGACGTATTGATTTACAACAAACTGATCATAAAATTGATGTGATATTTATGCATAAATAATTACGATGAAGGACTGACATTCAATCGTAAATTTAGAAATATTTATTGAAAGAATTTTTTCAACGAGGTTTTTGTCGTTGAAGCTGCCTTGAAAAATGCAGAAATTATTCCACCCAAATACTATATAAAATTAAAACAATTGCTTTCAGATAATTTAAACACTATATATATTTTGAAATATTTGAGTATATAGTATTATCTATCATATTTATCGTTTAGGCGTAAAAATTCGCATTATGGACTCCGTTATGGGCCCGTAAACATGAAGTATCTAAACTCCATATAAACTCTAAACAGGGCGGTATTTGTGGGGCGATGTCTTTTAAATAAGTCAAGAAATCCCATGACAAGTTTATTAAGTACATATTAAATTAGTAATATAAAAAATATGAAAAAAATTCATTGACATTTTTTCATAAGGTCCTGTTTTCCAACCTCTAAAAATATGCATCTATAAAATGATAGACCTGTTTCTGAGGATTACAAAACATATATATGTTTTGTTTTTTAGATCAGAGGGTGCACTCATACTATTTTTCTTCTCTGAAAGTACTCAAATATACCTGTTTTCATTAAAATTCAAGACCATAGCAATTCCATAAAAAATGTTGGACTTTTAGGAGAAAATGAAATGAAAGCACAATGTGTCTAACCACCCAAGTACACTTTGTGGCAAGTTGGTTAATTTTGAAATTGGTCCAGTTTTTGCAGCTAAGACATTATAAGAATCTGTGATTATGAGAAATGCACAGATGCATACCAAATGGAGAATCACAGACTTTGAAGGGTATATTTTCCAACCCATATAAATTAATTCACACCTCATGAGTTTTTTTTTTTTTTGAAAGTAAAATCAATTTAAACTAAGATAGTTTGTTTTTTCACTTGCAACAAAATAGCATGATTTTATCCCTAACAAGACAAAATAAATCAAATTTCTCTGCAATCTTGAAATCAAAAAAATTACAAATTGGACACAGATGCGTGATTAATTTCTGACAAGCAGGTGTAATGAGCAGGTAAGGTTGTCATTATGTCTTCGTTAACTATCCCTGGCAGATTCTATTTTGCTAATTCAAATCAGACTTTAAAAATGGATTTTTTGAAGAATTTTTTTTTTTTAATTCTATATTAAGGCATATCAGAGAAATTTTGTTATTCCCTGAAACTTGTAGATTATAGGAACGTGTATGGAATAATGGCATAAAGACTGCATAAGGTGGTAAGAATTTAATCTTTATATAGGTACCTATTAGTAAAATTCAACAAAATTTTGTAGTTTATTTTTCATAGCAATAAGAACATGCCAAGTAGGAAATGTAAATATATATTGCATCATTCATTTTAACTTGATTAAAAAAGTGAAAAAAAATATTATAAAGAAAACTGCTATGGCATTTCAGATCTATTGATTTTGAAACATAACCAATATATCTGATGGTTAATTTGTTTAACCCCCCCCCCCCTTTTAAGTTATACTGCTATTTACAGCCTACAAAGTTTCAAAATTTTGTCAAAATTTTATATTGTTACATGATAAAGTGTGTTCTTCTGAAAACAGAGAAAATCTGAGTACATGTATTATCATGCTTTGCATTTGAAAATACTGAACCTGATTATTCAGTCTGGTGTTAAGAGCCATGCTCATTACATCTATACCAAACTTGGAAGAACCATAGGGATCCTGTCTGAAAAACAATACATTAATATATTTTATTTTAAAATACTACTGGTAATCAGCTGAGTAATAATTACACCCTCATTCAAGGCAGTCAACAGGGGCTACTGAAAAACCCATATATTTTATGGAGTATTAATTTTTGTTGTTTTTGTGGCATAAAGAGACCTATGAATTCTTGTTCACTACAAAATATAAAATGTCATGTACTACATATCTTTGCAACATTTTCTTGTGTATAGAAACATATCCCCAAGAATCGTGAATCTTTATCTATTTCAAAAACCACAAAAATTGAAAGTAAATTATGTAGTAAAAATTTAAAAATTGAACTATATTTAATTTAAGTTGATTATTTCAGATTCTGGAAGGTTTAGATTCATCAATTTGTAAGATGATGCATCTGAAAAAGTAGGTCACAGTGACTTACTAAAATGAATAGGTTAATTTTCAGATTGTTTAATTGCAAATTTGAAGTCTTTGAAGCCCAGGAACATCAACCCTTGTCAGCTGATGCATCATAAGGCCTTTGAGTATGTCAACCAAAAGATTAGTCACATTGACTTATTTAGAAAATTTCATGGTATTTCTCAATATTTTCAATATGAAAGGGCTTAGAATTTTTGTCAAAATGTCAGTCAATGCACTTTGTGTCCTTTAAGTATGTTGTCCAAAAATTAGATCACTATAAGGCCACCATTAAAAATATCCTTGTTTCCCCATACCCGACCCTTAAATTTCAAGTTGGGTCGGTCACTTATTTTTTTTATCTTTCAAAGTACATTTTATAGCAAGAATAATGCAAAAGAAATTGGAGCAATTGCTAAGCAGAATTTCATACAAATGGAGGTTAAATGCAAAATTTAATGTTAATAATGAAATCAGAACTATGATAAAATGGATATTCTAGTTAGTAGAGTATGCCTGACATAAACAATATAGTTAGAAAAGTTGGATAATTTGCATAATGGTTGAAGCCCTTATGATGCGTACTTCATGAACGTACATGTATGTATCTACTATCTTAATTTAAAAAAAAGACAGATTGTAACTCTTATCTGGCCCTGATAAATTTTATTTAAAGAATGTTTCAGAAGCTAAAGTCATAAGGCTGATATGTCATCGTTGTTTTACAACAAGGACCATATGTTATGGGCGTCATTTTCTGTCCAACAAACGCTTGAAAGTCACAGGAAAAAAATGGCTGTTCCAATAAAATGCATTTTGATGAAATATATTTTATTATGGTTGATAAACTTTAAAAAAATATCAGAATAATCTTATCAAGAAAAACTTTTCAGTCGGCACTATTTGATTGAGTCAGTCGTGTTAGGGGAAACAAAGGTATATTTTATTTTGGCCTCATGACCTTCTTTTGGAATTTCATGGCTATTTACTTAAATATCTTGAATAAGACAATAATAAGCATGGAATATTGTCAATTGATGCATCTAGGGCTTTAAAGATGTGACAACTAAAACAAATTACAGTAATTAGAACTTTCTTTTTTCTAGCTTGTCATGCAAGAGTAAAGGTTTTCCAAGACATGCACTTTTAATATATGGGACCTGAAACTATAAGGATTATAAATTTTAAAGCTAATTTGGTAAATGTTTAATTGATGATTTTTATTAGGCCAAAAGTTTGATTGCATGATCCTTAAGAGTAAATACATGTAAGACAGATTTATATTTTACTGGATTTTTAATTTGCTCCCATCTCATCCTGGAAGGAAAATGGCATGACATTCAAAATTTTATTTCTCTAAATGAAGAAAAGATAGTGAATGTCAAACCAAGCAAAATGTCTTTCATTTCATGAATTTATTCAATATATATATGCATGGTTAATTACCGGTATATCTTTTAGTGTCTCTAAAGAACTAGGAAGAATTTTATGGTGTTCACAGTTTTGCTTGGGTTTGAATGTTCAGATGACAGAAACACACTCTGAGCATTAAACCAGGCAATAACGTGAACAACAAGTCTTCAACTCTTCTGTCATGAAATAGCTAGTGGACTTCAATATCAAGTCTTCAACTCTCCATTATGGTATCCTATAGTGGACTTCAAGATCTACCCTCACACAACAGGGTAAGTATACAAAACAGGAAATAAAGTTTGACTGAAATTGAAATATCTTATTTGAACATCTGAATCCAACTATCTTCAGATGAAGTTAAACCTTGGAACTTGACAATTATACAATTGTAACAAGAACTATCTTGGATGCTTTTTTTTTTTTACTTTTTGATCTCAACCTGGGATGCTGACCTACTTTTGAAAAAAAACTTTTATCCCTCAATGCATCTTCTTAATAGTTGATGCAAGGACTTTTATATGGTAGTTTAACTACAAAACTTTCCTTTGGGAACCAACATTTTTTTAACTTTATGTCCTTGACCCTGGAGTTTGCATAATGCCAACTTTTGAAAATTCCCATGGGGGATTTAGCGCGTGACGACAATTTTCAAAGCTCCAAATTCGCGACATTTTGTCGTAAAATTAAATGATAATGAATTTATCTTTTTTTAAATTTATAAATAATATTTTATATCACTTATTAATACAACTTAAGGATAAATTTAACACAAAAAATTGATTTAAAAAAAGTTTTTTTTCCAAAATTGAAATATTTTTGCTAAAAAAATGTTTGTTTTTTTCTACCAGGACACATAATTTAGTAAAAAATTGAAAATTGTACAACTTTTAAATCATTTTTTTTCAAAGGCTAAAAAATATATGAGGTTTTGATACTGTAAAGTCCTGTTTCAGGAAACATTTTTGAGATGTTTTAATTATATTTCAATTAATTAGAGATTCTAATAAGGTATTAAATTTACTGAAATTTATACCACCTATCCAAAGGAGAATATTTTTTTTTTTTTACAGTCATGAAATTTGTCAGGCTTGATGGTGCCATGTGGATATGCACATACCTATAAAATATTACTTTTGGGAGAAGGAAGGGAAAAGAAATTCTAACTGACATACACTTGATTGTTTCATCTTAATTTCATAAAATTTTAACTGGCAAACTTTACAATATTTTTCATTATAGGTAGATAAAATCAGCAGCTATGCTTTGTAGTTTTCTACTTTCGTTTTCAAAAAACAATCTCTTTGGATTCCGATTTTATAGTTTGATTAGTATTTCATTGTCTTCAATTTATGTTTTCAATAAAATGACTAACAATTAACACGTTAATCTATGTGTTTCACCATGCATACCCCTTAAAACTGACAAGATAATCCCCTAATTGCCCCAAGCCATAAGCTACTTGTACCTGGACAATTGCGTTCGTTCATGCGTGAATTGATTTCCTGTGGCTAATTAACATTGTTAAATAAACAATAAAACTTATCCGAGTGCATTAAATAAACAAGTTTGACATTATTATTCCGATTGTCAAAATTCAGCGGTAGGGAATCTTTTATAATCGGAAATTTTGGTGATTTTTTCAAATCGGGAAATTGGGGCAATTTTTCTTTCACGATCGGGAAAGCGGGATGAAAGGGTAAAATCGGGAGGATCCCGCCTAAATCGGGAAAGTTGGCATGTATGAGTTTGACCTTCTACTGCAATCTTTCCCTTTGGTAATATGTATCTTTTCAAGATTTAGTGATAGGATTTTTCTTTGGATACATTTTTTTTTTACTTTTGACTTTAACCTTGACCATGAGCTACCATATGGGCCAATGTGTCGTTGTTCAAAAAAAAAAAATCTTTTATAAATATATCTTTTAAACCAAGGAAAGGGGATTTTTTTTACACTGAACATTCTATTTGAAGAAAAGTCATATATCTTTTTTTTTGGTTTTGAGAAATTTTCAATGAAAAGGAGGGTAGTAAAAAGCTGCTGAACAGGAAATCTTTAATACGTTAAACAACTTACCCTTTTTTATGTTGAATATCATTGATGTTAAAGGAAGACTTTATACTGGCCCTGGAGGAGGTCCATATAACTTGTGATGGAGATTCATGACCAAGAAGAGGTTTTAGTTCTTGAACCTTAACAGTATGATAAAATACTTGAATATGCATATAAATTATTGTTGATCAGCCAATTTGGCATTGTTTATTAAACCATTATATTATATATAGCTTTACAGGTACATGTAAATACAAAATTAATCCAAGGCATCACTGGGGAGAAACATTAATATTTAATGTTTACTTATAATGCACAGGCACATGATGTTACTTATTTTTCTTTTAATAAAAAAATATACGCCTACCTAAAAGAACAAGAGGCCCATGGGCCTTATAGGTCACCTGAGCATTATGCAACAACTTTCCAGTGATTGAATTTGATTCATGTTTTAATCCAGATGCTATGGCATTCACAATTTTGAAATTGATCATCATAACAATACACTTAGCAGTTGCTTAGTTTGTTTACTTAATACCCATAGACAGGGTAGGGGAACAAAAAATGCATTTCAAGTAATCAGTAATATTCAGCATGATCAGTAATGCCCCAATCACACATGAACCCCTGACCCTTAGGCCTAGATCCACACATTGCACAATTTTTGAAAAGGCACCCTTGTTTTTCAAAAATATTTGATTAATACCAAGGAGCATATGTTCATCCAGTTTCAGTATATAAGTACAGCCCCCCCCCCTCCTTTATGGTTGACCCTGGGGCCATAAAATTCACAATTCTGGAAGATTAGTACCCTTGCTCATCATAACTATATAGGTTTTCTGCTTAATACCAAGGAGCAGAGAAGAAAACTTTCAAAGATTCAATGTATTTTCACTATATAATCAATAGAGCCCCGCCCTATCACTAGAACCCCTGACCCTAGGGCCATAAAATTCACAATTTTGGAAGAGGTAATCTTGCTCATCATAACTATGTAATTAGTTTATTTCATTCCTAGGAGCAGAGAAGAAGATTTTCAAAGAATTCATGTAATTTCACTATATAATTAGGGCACACCAGAACCCCTGACCCTGGGGCCATAAAATTCACAATTTTGGAAGAGGCACTCTTGCTCGTCATAACTATGTACTTAGTTAGTTTATTTAATACCCAGGAGCAGAGAAGAAGATTATTAAAGAAATAATGCATTTTCACTATATTATCTATATAGCCCCGCCCTAGCACTAGTATGATGTATGAATTTCACAATTTTGGTATTAATGCTGATTACAATCATGCAAACAGTTTGACTGCTTGATGTCCAGGAGTAAAGAAGAAGATTTTTAAAGATATAATTTTAGTGAACTACATGAAATTCACAATTTTTGTTCCCCTTTACCCATAGATGCTATATGCCAAATTTGGTTGAAATTGGGTTTTTCTTGTTCAATGTTAAAAAAATATACGCCTATATACCTAAAAGAAATATAAGTAACGTCAGGTGCCTGTATTATAATGATCTAATGTCAAGCTTTTCATCTTGATTAATGTCAATTTTAGCACAGATCTTACTAAAACAAAATGGCCGAACAGATTTGTGGCAAAGACTTGTTGCAGTCCTTCCTGTGTGATTTTGTCTGTCTGTAATAATAAACCCTCCCCAGTAGTAAACATGTGGAGAATCTTTCTGCAAAAGAACCATATTTGATGCATATTTTTTTTCTAATTTCTGAATATATTACTATTGTTGTTAATCAATTTTTAAAGTTATAACCTAAAAATCAATTTTAAAAGTGTAGAAAATATGTCAGAAAATTACAAATTTTAAGAGGATATTTTGAATTAGTTTTGTTTTACTACCATATAATCATTTATTTCTGTACTTACTGTCCTGGAGTATCACTGTCAAAAATTTCATTCATCATGTGAGACCAGTTGATGCCTCGCCTAACAAAGATGGCTCCTGCATTGAGGTAGAGAAGGTCAATATGCTTATACCTGAAAATGTTTATTCATAAAATTTATATGAATTTTGCAAAACAATAGAATACAGCAATTGGTTGCTAAAACATTTTAAAATATTACAATTTAAGGTATTGGTGAAAATGAAGTTAATATTCTCAAAGACAAAGATTAAGAACAAATTTTGACTTTGGTGTCATTTGAAAGAACTTAATTTGTAAAACTTCAAGTAAATGTCAAAGTTACTGTTTAATATTAAATTATTTCCCTATTAGGAATCCATAAACTTATCCTCATGTGATACAGCCAAACTTGTTATCTTGAACTCCATGCTTTGAAGGAACAAGATGCATTTGAAACACTGTGTGCCCAGTGGCAACAAAGTTTGAAAAAGCTATTTTTAGCATATAGGTTAAAGTCAAGGTCACAAGGTCATTGACCTTGATGTTATTTGAAAGAGCTTAATTATTGAAGTAAGCATACTGAATATGACGTCTCTATCTCTCATGGTTCAAAAGTAATGGCAAAGGCAAAAGTTTGAAAAAGCTATTTTTAGCATACAGGTTACAGTCAAGGTCACAAGGTCATTGACCTTGATGTTATTTGAAAGAGCTTAATTATTGAAGTAAGCATACTAAATATGAAGTCTCTATTTCTCATGGTTCAAAAGTTATGGCAAAGGTTAAAGTTAACAACTGACAGACAAACAAACAAACAGATAAATAGATACACAAACAGAAGGACATGACAAAAACAATATATGCCCTAGATCTATTGATCAGGGTGCATAAAAACTGATTTTTGGTATACTACGGGGTAAACATAAAAGAAAACATGATCTGGACTTTCAAATGACTTCAACATGTTGGAAATATCAAAGATATCAAAGTTTGTGATAGGAAAGTTCAACTGTACATAGTTTCATTTAGTACAACTATACAGGATTCTATGATATTTAACTGCACTCAAAGACGCAGCATGTCCTTGCAAATTAAAAAGTACCATGTGACTACAAATTTTTTCTTAATCTTCACATACATGCCTGTCTTTTCTTCCTATAATGACTCAACACCTACACATTTCACATTGGTTTTACTTTCATTAAATACAATAATTACATAATGATTACTTTAATAGTCATATTCACTGAAATGCACTGAGTTAGATAGCATGCATGCTGCACATGAAATAGAACTGTACTCAGTCTGCTCCACATGTTCTCAAAGCTTAGTCAGAAAATAGCTGAATGTAATCGCAGTTTACAGTACAGTTCCATCTCATGTGCAACACGCACGCAATCAGTACATTTCAGTGTAGATATTTCTGTCATTTTTTCTTTATCTTCTCCATAATGAGAATAATTATGCTTTTGGGACTCTTTAATATGCATTTTAATCAAAGGTTTGCCAACAAAAAATGCTTTAAATAAAATACATCCATGAGGTTGCTATAGACCATAGGAGTTTTTATACGAAAAGTTATATAGTAATTCATATTGTAAAAGAACTAGGTGAAATTTAATGAAACTTTCAATTTTCACATATTGCCATTGTGCACCTCCTATTTTACTTTTTTAAGAATTTCCCACAAAGCATGAACATTGCCATTATATGTTTACCTATGACGTCACATATAGAAGCTTCCGGATAACATTTGATAGGATGATTTATTCCTCTTTACACATTACCGTAAAACAATATATACTAACACATGGACATTATGGGAGGCGGGGGTATCATTTAGTGAGCTCATTGCTCACAGTACCTCTAGTTTCATATTGTAAAAGAACTGGGAATGCTAATTTTCAGTTCCTGACCAAAGAATACCATGTGGCTATTCTTTTTATGGTTTTCATTTCAAATATCCAGAGCATGATTTTCACTGAGTGTGATGTAAGGTAATGAAGTATAACTGTTACCCCTTACCAAACTGTTATGTTTGCTGCAGGATTGCATCATCAGCAATGTTTGCCGCAAGCTTGCAGCAATGTTTGCCACAAGCTTGCAGCAAGGCTTCCATATTAAATTTTTTTTGTAAAATCAAGTGTTTGCTGCAGATTTGCAGCAAATCTCACTTACATGGTAAAATATTTGCAAACACCAAGGCTTTATATTGACTGGCAATGACTGCCATGCTTTATTTAGTTGCATTGCAGCAAGTTTGCAGCAATGTTTGCTGCAGAAGTGCAGTAAATTTGCAAGAAGGCAATATTTTTGGTAATCAAGGGATAGTATGCAATACAAGACACAAATCTTGAGACATATTCAAATTAACAGGAAATTACATGCCTTTTGTCAACAAATTCAATTTATCAATTTCATATCTATAAAACAATCAAGAAAGTGGTTTGTATCAAACATAATTCAGAATAATCCTTTGTGAAAAACTTTTAAAATTTTCACCAAAATTCTTTAATAACATTTACAGTGCCCATGCCCACAAATTCCACATACACTGAGCAGGTTACCAAAAATAAATCTTCTTGATATTAGGCCTTTCTTAATAGATTAGACAAGTTTATTTATAAAGGCATAAATCCATCAATGTTCTCTGGATATACACTGTATGTTTTTAAGCCTTGATATGGAGAGATTTTTTAAAATCTGGGATTGGAGGCTTAGATAAGGAATTTCAAATAAATGTTCATTTCATGGACTTTGCATGATGCATTACCTTGGAACATGAACCCACTCCCATTACCGTTTTGAGTTTCTATTTGAATTGTTATTTTCTTTGAAAAACAACTTCAGTTTTATGACTTATTTTTTCTTTTTTTTTTAAATACACAATGACAATGATATTCTTCATAGATTTGCAACAATTACCTGTATTTGTAAACCTTGGCCCAAGCAATGTTACAGGTATCAATATTTATGTTTTATTAGACTTTATTCAGAGTTTGGGGTAAATTTGTTAACGATGATAATTTAAAAATAATAAATTACGAAACAAAAATCAATCCCAAATACTACACTGCATATATATAACTATGTCTGATAATATACAGTAGAAGAAAACAAAAATTCCATACACTACGCTTCACATAAAAGGAAAAAAACCCCAATCCGAGGCCAAATAAACTGGGTTTGATCAAGGTGAACAAGAATACCCCTTAACTCACAGATTAGATATGCTGTTCTTATTTTGCCCATACAAAAGTTAAATTTAGATTTAGGTTCCACCCATAAACTTTTTGACTAATGACATTTTATGCTTACTACTGTCATCGACAGGTGCTGTATTCTATCTATATACACTCTGCCCACATCATCGTTTATTACTTAACATATCAAAGGTGGATATTTTTATAACAGCATGAAATATCTGCTTTTGCTTTGTTAGAGACCAATAGTGTATTCATATGAATTTTTAGGAATAAGTATAATTTGATATTATTATAATAGTGGGGAATCCATATAGTTCTATCATTAATTTTAAGGTATTTTTTAAAATTAAAAAAGTTTATAATTGTTGTTTCTGCAAATAATTCAATCACATAATTACAGCAAAACTCGATTATAACCAAGTCACTGGGACCTATGAAATTACTTCGCTATGTCTGTAATTCCTTATTACTGTATTAGAAATTCATTAATTTTAAATAGCTGGGGATCCATGATGACTTCGCTATATCCGTGAATTTGCAATATCCGATTGCTAATAACATATATTTACTTGTATAACCTTTAAAGATATTTCTCATAAACATACATGTATGTATGTATGCAACTATATTTAGTTTCAATGCACATTTCATTGCAAAAGAAAGATTATATAGATAACCAAACTATTGCAGTCATTTCAAATATTTCAAACATGGAAAAAACAAACATATGTTACATGCTTCTGATCATTCTAAATCTTACTTTAAGCGAAGTTCTTTGGCTCCTTTAATAACAGAGGCAATGCTGCTAGTGTCTATTAGGACTATGTCTACAGTAGCAGTTGGCTTATATTTAAGAAGTGAATTTTGAGCAGCCTCTGCTCTGGTCTTATTTCTGCAGACCAAACAAATTTCAATTCCTTGACCATCATGTAAATCTAGAAGCCTCTCCGCTGTTGTAAGGCCAACTCCTCTGCAACAAAATAAAAAAAGACTATAATTTTTGAAGTGGCACATAACAACATATAAATAAAAATTATTACAGTAAAACTTGCTTAGTATGAACACTGATATTCCGAATTCATGGATAAAGCAAAGTTATCGTGGATCCCCAGCTATACAAATTTAATGAATTCCTTCTATGGACATAATGAACTACCGATATAGCGAAGTAATTTTACAGGTCCCAGTGAATTCATTTTAACCGAGTTTTACTGTATGTGTTTGTAAAAGATAAATGGTCAAGTCAAGGTCATGACACCTTCTCAGACTGCAAGTAGTCTTTATGTCAAGTTAAAATTTTTTTAATGTTTCTTCATTTATATTTACAAGACATTTTCTCGAAAAAGAATAATATATTGGGTGTTACCTTGAACTTGATCAGAGAACCTTGGTCAATTTTTTAAGACACTTTCAAGTCAAAAGCAATTCAAATCTTTGTGAGAAGAATGAACTATTAATGGTTCTTTGTTTCTGAGATTAGGGCAAGGGCCATTAAAATTGGGAAATTTATAGAGATTTGGCGGTATTTGGAAAAATCATTACATAACATTAAATTGTGTTATTGATTTGGGTTTCTGGTGTTTGTTATCAGCTGAAATTCTGTTTTGCAGTATACAGAAGAGTTTATATATTATATAACAAAGTTAGAGAACCACATTATGTAAGTAACAGGAAAGGAGAAAACAGATGAATGAACTGGAAATCAAACCCCTGTCCCCTGACTACTGTATATAAGATTCCTTATTTTTCGCGAGTACTTATTTAATATCGAGAATGGGCTCTTCAACGTCAAATCACGAGAATAATAATTCGCGAATGGAAGGTTGGTCAAGATATTTTATATAGATTTCAGCACCATAAAAATAAAGGCACGTAATTTTATTTCAAATGTGGTGCTTCTAATGAAATTACGCAATAATTACAGGGGTTCAAAAATCCTCAAGCCCGACGTCCCGGACTAACAAATTCATCAGACTCACATTTAGAATTCGCCAAAGTCCTGGGACTTGGCTATGTTTCTTGTTTATCTTTTTTTATAAATTAAAAAAATGATCGTAAAGCTAAAAATAAAGCAAATTCTCAAATGTATTAAGTACAAATGTGGGTTTGTGGGGGTTAAAATACCTATAAAACATTACGAACGTTTCGAAAATACAATCCGTCTTTTTATTTTCCGTTGCGGTTAGACTCTTGCTTTTACGCAATTCCTCATGTTTCCTCCTATATGAAAAACGGCAATGAGTTTGTTAAATTTCGGTTTTAGCTGTGACTTACAGCACATTCTAATTTCTATTTATTGTAACAGATGGTTTATTCAGTAGTGAGTATTTGTAAAAGTTATTGTAATCTACCAGTAATCTATCAGTCTGGTATTGTGTTGAAATACTCATGTATGACTATATGACAGTTTATGGAGGAAAAATAAAACATATATTAATACACATAGTCTTTATTCATTCAATGCAACAAATGAAAGTAACTTATAAGTTACATAAATTTAATGATGTATAGGTAAATATGGACTCTGAAATTTCTTCCTCAGACTTGCCTAAAATTTACTCTTCAAGTCCTGGACTTGACCATGACAAAAAAAATTTTGAACCCCTGAATTAATTAGACATGTATATTTAGGAATCTACAGTAGTTAGATGCACTATACCACATAGCTTCAAAGGACGATATCCATGACTAACCCATTGAACAGCACTGCTCTCTAAAGATACGCCCTTTCCAAAGATTAAGAAAAGCACAAAAAAGGATCGTGCTTAATTTGGTAATTGGTAATTATTATGCCTCCAGCTACCTCGTTTTTTTTTTAACCCCCCTTTTTTTTGCTATTTGAACTCTTATTCCCTGAAAAACAATCTTATGTTAAGCCATTTCCCATTTGTTTAAATGTCCTTTTAATAAAAGTACATATATTAAAATTAATTCTGTCCCTTTTTTTAAATGTTAACACGATAGCAGATTGCCGTCGATCTACTATAGGTACCGTAACCGTGTACTCTTGGTAAGAAATTCGTGGATGGCAAAGCTGATTGACTAAACTTTTTAAAAGAAAGTTAAAAATCGATAATCGTTCAGTTAACAATTCCAGCACGAAAAATTCGAATTATTTCAACACTTACGAATTTCCACCAGTGATAACTGCTACAAGTTTGTTTTCATGAATCGTAGACATCGGAAAAAATGAAAGTAGGAATAAAAACAATATTGGAAACTCTCGGAATATTGAAATCCGGAAAGAATTGAGTTTCTCCCCTTTTTTGGAGATTTGGACGTTTCTATTTCTGTTATATGGCGCGATTTTCTTGTTGATAAAGGAAAGTCAATTCATTGGTTACATTGATTAGATAAGGTGGTACGACACGGTCACAGGTAGTGTAATTCAATTGCCTGATAAACACTTTAACACTAACGAAAAGAAATGCCGATCCTTATATTAAACTGTGTATGGCTATGCTACTGTGAATATCGAGGAACCTATTTTTACACTAGAAGTTCAATAAAGAAAATGCCTGATGATGTAAGAAATAAGTCTTTCCCTTAGCAACGTATTTAAAAGAATAATTGATTAAAATTAATAATGAAAGTATATTCAATTTTACACTCAATGACTATAAACCGACAATATTTTTCTATACACTTCTTGAAAAACATTCTTCCAGAAAATACATTAATTTCTATTTGGTATGAATTTAACTTGAACAATTTTTGCAATTTTTTAATTCATATTATTAGCTGAAGGTGGAGACAATGAGTAGGATAATGGCATAAATATTTATCTTAACAACGTACAGATCTCGAGCGTCTGTTCTAGTCGCGGAGTAAGGAGTTGATCAAAATACCGCGGATTCGAATCCCACTGTGGGACGCGGAGACCAGTCCTTGGGATGAGACCGTTTAAACCGATGTCCTGTCGCAGTAGGGGCTGGGACAAAAAATGATCCCTCACTGCTCAATGGCCCTATTAAGTGCGAAGCATAGGTCAGCAAGTGGCGACGTCTCCATATGAGTAAAAATTTTTGAGAGGGACTTAAAACAAATCTAAAGAAAACTCCAACCACTGTGAACCTGTTTATCCACATTTGCTCCTTTTACCTGTATCTGCACCTGCTTTTATCCATGCTAACTTTTCGCTTACTATAGCTTCATCCCACCGCTGATGCTGGTATGCTCTGGACAATGTAGCTTCACCTAGAACCGACATTTCTTGTTTGCCAACGTCTTTTCTTCTTTGCTGGTGCTCTTTCGTCCATGTTATTATCTGGTGTGGTCAAAATCCTTAAAAATGCCTAAGAGAAGATGAAGAAGCGACCATATGTGCCCGTTAAAATTTGGAGCCATATAGAGAACGGAGCAGGCCAAGCTTTCAGATGACACCACGTATTCTGGTGGCCCTACTAAACAGAGAACCCTAGAGAACTCAAGAAGACAATTCATTCATAAAAGAGGTAGTAACTTTTTTAAACAATAAGCCTCCGAATGTAATCCTCTAGTCCGAAGAACAAATCGTAGCAAGGGAACTTCCATAACAATTTAACGGCTGTATCATTGGACTACTTAGTAGATAGAACTTTTAACATGGGTTCATGCTACCTCACAGTTTCAATATTTAGAAATAAAAATATCGAAAAAACCGAAACCGGTCAACAACCAATAATGTTGAGACCGACGTATCTTCATTAGGATGGCACATTTCACACATATCGACGATTCCTAGCTGTCACTTCAGAGTGCATTGAATGGAGTTGACCAGTCATAGATTGTTTTCGGGACAGACGGAGAAAAAGCATTACTACCAGGTAATTTCATTTAAACTGGCTTGCCCGCCGCAATCCACACTCTCTGTACCAGGCTTGTACTCAATTTGAAAAACGGTTTAACAAGTTCCGAAGTGAGCTGAGCGAAATTGCTAACAAGATTTTCAATTCAACCCCAGGACTCGTAGTCATGTAATGTGAATCATCATATATACAACTAAAAAGAAACTGAAGGAAATTCTAGAGATGAATGGCTTGCTGTATTTACAAAACTTCCTGTACAATATTTAAAAAGGCGTCTATGAACCGAAGAAAAAAATCAGCATTCAAGCTTCCAAAATTATGGACGAATAATAACAACAAATCATACAACAACATTATGTAATTAGACAAAGACTTGAGAATAAGGAAGATGCCTTAACTAGTAGATTTGCTACAAAACTTGGATGTTACAAAAACACAGAATCTTCGGGATTCTTTGCATCCTAGAGGATACTTTCGAATTAAACGGGCCTGTGGAACACGTGGAAGGTTAAAAAGTTTCGAACCTGTATCTGTTTTTTTAAACAAGTAATTCAGCAATATTCCGAAAAATGAATCATCCTTTCTTTTCCCGAAGCGATGCCAATGCATACTTAAAATGACTTAAGTCCGCATTTCCATTTCGCAAGCTGGAAAATCTCAACAAAAAGTCGATGGAGATTTGCAGATTTGTACTACATCATGCATTAACAGTCTCTGAGCATGAATGGCACTCCGTGGATTGAAAGTCCAAGGGTTACTACAATGTACTAGGTTACAGAAAATTCGACTGTACCATCCGAAAAAAAGGTAATCAAAAATGGCGAAGGATATTTTTTTCGCTTATAACTCGACAATCTTGATGAACAAACTGCATCGTACATAGAGTCCTGTCGAGGTAACTGCATGGCCGTAGGATCGAGGGGGTGTTTAAACAGTCATGTTATACTTTTTATGGTTAAAAGATAATCATTTAAATATTTCTATCAAATCTCTGATGCTTTTAAATTGAGTTTTACATTACTGTTGTAATGGTTTGGGCCGTGGATATCGGCCTGGATAGCTCAGTTGGTAGAGCAACTGACTGGAGATGCAGGGTTCCCGGGTTCGATTCCCGGTCCAGCCATACATTTAGTCCTTTCCTGTTACAGACTTGGTGCCGTTGACCACCCATGGAATTGCAGGTGAAAGTCCTGCCAGGGGTAAATAAGAACTTGGGTTGTGTCTTCGAGGGCGAAGACCGTTTAAGGAGGGAGGAATGTAATGGTTTGGGCTGTGGATATCGGTTTGGATAGCTCAGTTGGTATAGCACCTGACTGGAGATGCAGGGTTTCTGGGTTCGATTCCCGGTCCAGCCATACATTTATTCCTTTCCTGTTGCACTGTATTCATTTTTGAAATCAGATCAAAAATTCAAATAACTGTAATTTACTGCTTGTTGTGTTTATTTTGCGTTTCAGTATACTTAGATCATCAGCATAATACCCGGAGAAGATTCGAGCAGATTCATTATATAATCATTAGAGCCCCACCCTCAACCTTGACCCAGGGGTAATAAAATTCATAATTCTGAAAGAGGCATCATTCTACATTATACTAGTAACTACGCGCAAAGTTTACTTGTTTTATACCCAGGAGCAGATGATTTTCAAAGAATTCATGCAGTTTTACTATATACATGTAATCATTAGAGCCACCCATAACACCACAACCCCTGACCATAGGGCCATGAAATTCACTTTTTTTGAATAGAAACCCTTCCTTATCATATCTATGTTTATAGTGCATAAGTCTTACACCAAGAAGCAGAGGATCTTCAAGGCATTTTGATTTTTTATATGATCATCAGAGGCCCCCCTAACAACAGAACCTCTGAGCCTGGGCCATGAATTTCACAATTTAGGTAGAGGGCTCCCTTCCTTGTCAGAACTATATTCATATTTCTTTAGTTTAATACACAGGAGCAGAGATTTTCAAAGTTAATGAATTTACACTATAATCAATAGAACCCGGCCCCAACATTAGAACCTCCTGTTCCATGAATTTTCACAATATAGATAGAGGGTTCAATGTTTATTACAATCATGCCAACAATTTGACTGCTTGATGTCCAGGAGTACAGTGGAAAATATTTACAGATTGCATTCATTTTTAGCCCACCCCTTAAACCTCCAGAAAAAGGAGCCATGAATTTTCGTTCTCCTTCAACCATATATGCTATATACCAACATTGGTTGATATCAAATTTGGTTCACTGAAAATGTTTAAAAGCTTACGACCGACGGACAACACACGACGACGGACGAAAAGAGATGACTCAGGTGACATAAAAATTAAAACAGGAGGAAATAATGATATACTGGAGAATGTTAGAAAATGTGATCTTGCTAGAAGTTGAATTTCATTTTATTCTTATTAAAATGTCTGGTAAGTACGTGTTAAAGTAGTGTTATATATTTCTGTTTAAATATTGAAATGTCTAAAAAAAAGTAAGTTTTTCCTAGAAATCGATTTTATAAAGGTGATATTAACCAGAAGTCTCTCTCGAGACTGAAGCTCTACTGGTTTGTACTTATAGCAACGGGAGAGAAAAGTATTTAAGCAGTTGGGAATTGGAACTTTACAACAGCAATAAATAGAATAATGATCCTTGATTAAGTCTCTTTAAGTTCTTAGTGTAGTCTACTTGTGTGCCAAGTTATATTGAAATCAGACCAAAACTGTAGGAGGAGTAGTGTTTTGAAAGAATTTCACAGAAATTTCTATTTTTAGTAACCACGGGAGACGGCAACACCATTCATCGAAATCAAAAACCGATACACAGAATTATGTATCTTAGTGTAGTGTACTTGTGTGCCAAGTTATATTGAAATCGAACCAAAACTGTAGGAGGAGTAGCGTTTTGAAAGAACTTCACAGAAATTTCTATTTTTAGTAACCACGGCAACACCATTCATCGAAATCAAAAACCGATAAACTGAATTATGTATTTTAGTGTAGTCTACTTGTGTGGCAAGTTATATTGAAATCAGACCAAAACTGTAGGAGGAGTAGCGTTTTGAAAGAATTTCACAGAAATTTCTTTTTTTAGTAACCTCGGCAACACCGTTCATCGAAATCAAAAACCAATACACAGAATTATGTATCTTAGTGTAGTCTACTTGTGTGCCAAGTTATATTGAAATTAGACCAAAACTGTAGGAGGAGTAGTGTTTTGAAAGAATTTCACCGAAATTTCTATCTTTAGTAACCATGGCAACACCGTTCATCGAAATCAAAAACCGATATACAGAAAAATGTATATTAGTGTAGTCTACCTGTATGCCAAGTTATATTGAAATCAGACCAAAACTGTAGGAGGAGTAGCGTTTTGAAAAATTGATTACAGACAGACAGACGGACGGACGGACGCCGGACGCATTACTATCGCATAAGCTCTTCTGGTCTCTGACCAGTAGAGCTAAAAATGAGG